AGTGTGTATGCTACTAAATAAATGAGACTGAAGGAAAAAAAGACATCTACTGTGATTTGGTCATGTGAGAATAATATCTTTTCTTCAAGAATTTCCTTAGGGAAGAGAAAAAAACTATTTCAGTGTTTCTTTTGCTTTTAGTCTTTAGCATCTGGTACTTCATAAAGCAAAACCAGTTCTAAGACATCTAGAAACCAAATGGTGGAGCTTAGTTCCAAAACCTATTGTATACATTACCTTTAGAACCTGATTCACACAAAGCTTGTCAGCTTCCTTCAAGGTAAACTCTGTCTCAGAAATCTTAGTGGCTAACCTACAGCACATAAAAAAAAATGAGCATCAAGAGGCACTTGTCAGAGCACTTAACTGTTCCCCTGGGCAGTTTTGTGTGGACATGGGGAAGAAGCACTCAACACTCTAGGACTGGCAGCACTTCTCAGCAAGAGAGAGTGTATTCTTACCACAGAGATTGTGCAAAGAGTACTTATAAGAGAGGGAAACAAATAACCACCATTAGGGTATCTTTATTTTGTGTTGCAAATATAGAAGTATACACTTGTCTAGCTTTAAATTGCATAGGAGCAGGCGTGTCATCTACTTACATACCGTAGTCACCCAGAAAGGTGAGCTGGCAGAAGTGCTGCCGTGGTCAGAGGTAATGACAAATCAGAACTTATTCACATGACTTTTCCATTTGTGTGGTGTGATGGGAAGATTTTAGGCATGGTGTCACTAAGGTCTCTGCATGGGATTGAGAAGAGTGGGCAGCCAGGAGAGAGGACAGCCAGAGAGCTACAGGTGAAAGTGTCTCACACAGCTCAAGGGTCTAAGGAAGTGTGGTCCCTTTCTGACACAGCTGTGGAGATGTAAATACAGTGCGGGAAAAGTATTCCCAGCAGCATTTTCTTCTCTTTCAGGAAAGGAGGGAGAGTGTTTTGAAGGTGAAGTTACACTTGCAAAAGCCCACACCTACTTTATCAGCCTTGGAAAGCTTTCTTAGTGCACACCAGCAAATTAACTGAGAACTACTTAGCTCAGGAAAAGGGTTGATATGAGGGAGGGCACCATAAATCTGTGAAATTAAAAATTCTGTTTGTTCAAAGGAAAATATGAAGATGCAGAGCATTTATATTGAGGAGAGCAAGGATTACAAAGAAATGAGAAGGAGGAATATCAACAAATGTGAAAAAGCAAAGAAAAACAAATTGAAATTTCCATTATTGTTTCGTCTTTTGTTAATCAGTCCCTTCTTTAAAATGTAAGTATGAGGTTATATGAAGCAACATAAAGTATTAGTGCTAAAGAGTCAAAAAACAACTATATACATACAATTACAAAACCAATTTGGCCATGTTAAAAGACAGACACCTATCAGGAAGAGCAATTTACAACGACCCTATACATGTCTGATTCTGTAGTAGGGAAGTGGTGGAAGATTTTTCACATGGATTATAGGACCAAATTAATCCCAGATCTCCAGCTCTTGTCATTCCTCTAGGAAACAAAATTGGGTTTTGGCTTCCAGTTGCCAAAGTAATCTAATTTTGATGCTATGAATTTAACTTATTTGTGATGCACTAAAAATGTCTCCTTAAAAAGCAATTTCACACAAGTTATATTTTGCAATGCAAGCGGTTGAGCACTATGAAATTTGATTGTACAAACAATAAGTTTCAGCCTCAGAACTGAAGGACTAAAGATTGTAGTGTGTATCACTGCAATTGTTATTTTTTCTTTTGAGATAAAATGGTTTGTACAGCATGTAGCATTCAACATCACAATAGGAGCAATATCATTTTCTCCAGGATATTAATTAAAAATTCATTATCTGTGAGGTTTTTAAATAGCATCTAAAAAAAGATTGTTACAGGTCAAAGATTCATGGCAATACACTGACAGAAGATCATTCCAGTTGAGAGTTAAGAGCCTGTACAAAATCTAGGTTGCTACTACAGATTCTTTTAAAATTCTCAGCTTTCTTTTAATGCCCATTTGGTACCTGCATCTCCATGTCTTGTCTTGTTAGAAGAGACTGCATCTGGCTCAGTACAGCCCTGAGCTAAATGCTGTTGTAAACCATCAGAGTCTGTTAGAAATAAATAATCAGTATATGCTTACAGTTGCTCTTCAACACCCCACTCTTGATTACTCCTAGGGATAAGATCCTGGTCAGGATAGAATTCTGTTCAGTCTCAGTGCAGCTTTGTCTGTGTGCTTCCTGTGAGTACCTTGATGCAGCTATTCAGTAAAAGCAGGTATTTGTCCAATGTGCAGGACTTGCACTTCGTTTGTAAAGTGAAGGCATAGCTGCAGCCAAGACTGCCCGTGGCGCTGGTAACAGATCTGTGCTCTCCTCCCACTTTATTTTTCAGTTGCTTTCCTGGTGTTACCACTACTGGCCTTTCTAAATTTGTGAATTTTGTTAAGGCAATGCTACACAGGGGGAAACCAAGTCACAACTGCTGGAAAGTTTGATAGGTCACCTTTGGGGGAGAAAAAGCTACTAATGCATGAACCATAAAAGTAATACAATCTGAAAGGTAAGGACAAACTGATGAAATTCCAGTTGGCTAAAAGTAAATGCATTTATTTTTGATCAGCATGGTCCAGAGGTAGCCAGTCTGAAATATGACCAAAAATGTCAGCCTTTGCAAGAGAAAAGAATGAGAAAGTTTCCTGCTAAATGGGCTTTTCTGCTCATCTAACTGGGCTGTAGGAACTCCTGAATGTAAGACAGGACAGGCAATGAACTAAAGTGAGAGAAGCTAGAGAGCCAAAGTAAAGGTGAAATGGGAAAAAGGGCATGAGGCAAGGTCATCCATCTCCCTTGGTCACTAAACCCATCAGTCTCCACACTTCTACTGAAATCTGCCCCACATAGAGGGACCCCTCTTTTCTGACCATCGGTCATTTTATGACACGATGGATTTGGAATTATTTCCACACCACATGGGTCTTTGCTGAAAGGTGTCCATCATCACCCTTTGTGTCTGGATGTCATAGAAGGATTGGTGTGAGAAGGGACCTCCAAAGATCATCTAGTCCAACCTCCCTGCTCAAGTGAGTTGACCTACAGCAGGTTGCACAGGATCATGTACAGGTGGATTTTGAGTGTCTCTGGAGCAGGAGACTACACAGTCTCTCTGGACTACCTGTTTCAGTGCTCTGTCATCCTCAAAGTAAACAAGTTTTTTTTTTCTCATACTCAGGTGAAATGTCCTTTGTTTCGGTTTGTGCCTGTTGCTGGTTACCACTGAAATGAGTCTGCTCCCATCCTCTTGACACCTGCTCTTAAGACATTGCTTTGAAATGACATTGTATAAAACTGTCCATTCTAAAGTCAAAGACCTTAAACTATACAAAGCATGGAACAGATATAAAGTCAGACCAATAAAGCATAAACCTGTGCTGAAGATGCCTTTCTCTGAGGATGGATTCAGACTCTTCACTCTGTGCTTTTCTTTACCACAGCTCAATAGTGTCCTGACTGCTGTAAAGGACAGGAAATCTGTGTGGTCAAAGCAAACCCTTGCCTGCTAGCCCACACCTTCAGACTGTACATGCAGGTGATCACTAAGCATAAAGCATATACCAGAGAACCTCTTGCCTCAGAAAGGAACCAGAGAAGTCTGCAACTGGCATTTTGCCTTTCAACTTGATTACATGTAATTTGACACAGTAGGTTGGCAGTGTGACATTCAGGAGTGATACAATGGCAGAATGCTTCCAAGACTCTTCAGACTTAATCCAAATTATTTGCCTTTTCAGTCTCCTTATTTTGCAGCTTTAATCCATAAACATCCATTTAGATCCTAAACAACTGAAGAAAGCCTTAGAAATGAGCTGTCTTGGAAACAAATGACTACCTTTATCAGCAAGTCTGCACTTGCAAAGCAAGGAACAATTACTACCTGCTCAGCTGTGTGAAGCCAAGTCATGGTTTTAGCTTTCTCAAATGGTTGAGCTATTCTACTTTCCTGTAAAAAGAACGCCCTAAGTGGGGTTTGCATTAGATTTCCCGTCACTATTCCTCTCGTTTGCATTACTTTCTACCTCAGAGTATTAAAATCAAGAGCTCCAGCATACCAAATGCTAGGTAGTTACCCAAGAACCTCAGCTAAGTGCTTACCAACACTGCACAGGGAATTAATGCTGAATATCAAAGTACTTACAAAAATGAACTTAATTTTAAGTAAAGTCCATTAAAAGATAAAGATAGTCCATTTCTCATCATGCCATGCCTTCCTTGAAAAGCCACCTTCGATGCCAGGAGCTGTGAAGAAAGCAACACCATGAGGCGAGCAGCACATTTGATTCACTACTCAAAGGAATACTATCAGCTCCACCAACTTCTGCTTTTTAATGGTAAATGTTTTCCTCTTCATTGCTTGTTTACAAAGCACATGCTCAGAGGAGCCTGCTTTTTTTTTCCATTTTTCCTACTGCTTCCAATTTGAGTAATAGCTTCCACAAGGTCTACTAATAAAACCGATGCAAATGGCAGCTCTTTTTTTTTACTTCCCTTATAGTGCATAAGCATTAGTAATTCACCAGGACTGTAAAAAGCTCTCAGGAATGTAGAAGCCTTTGCAAGTTGGTTGCTGCTGGCACAGCACACATTTTTGGATTCTTGGTTCAGAAAGAAGCACAACCTGTGTTTGTCATTGTTTCCATCCAAATACTGCAGCTGGATGGTAGGTCCATTTTTTTTCACCTGAGCAGATTGAGAAGTTCTTTTCTTAGGAGCTGTATTCTGAATCAGACAAACAATGCCATTGTTTCCACTTCTAAGCTGGTTCGGTGGAGCACATTTGAAGGACAGAGATAAAAATGCAAGAGTCTTTAACAATCTGGGATCCAGCAAGTAGGCAGAGGAAGCAGAACATTGCTGATGTTGAAACTTCACCCTTCTGATGGAGCTAAAGTGGAGGAAGTAAATGAAATAGGAAGCAGTCCTTCCAGACACACACATTCCCTGATCTTTGGAAGAACCGTTTCTACTATACAGGAGTAACACTCAGGTCATCTGACAAAGACAGACCAGAGTCTCTCTCTCTTGATGTTTTCTCTGTTTTACAAAAAGGCTTTTCATCTCTGTGCAGACTGGAGCTCCTTAGCACAGCTGCTCTGACCTCTGCCAAGGCTGATGGCTGGTGCTCAGCACTATAGCACAGGTCATCATAAGCATAGTTTACATTGCCACAGGGGAAAGTCTGGAGTTTCACCAGTTCAATCCCACTGATATCCAGGTGAGGGCAGTTACTTCGACTTGGAGATGCTGGAGATGCCCGAGAGCTTGGAGAACTGCAATTCCCATCAAAGCCTGAATCTTCCCGCTCTGGATTTGCTTTGAACTTGGAGCTGGGGCTGAAGTGACAGATATTCTCTAGCACCCATGATCCATAGGTTGGGTTCCAAAGATTTTTTGTTTTGTTTTTAAGTCTGTGGGCTGATGGGTTGCTGAGCTCCAGCTTCTGGTTTGAGGTCTGCTGGAACCATGACCCACTGTTGAAATCACTGAGGCATGGCAGGCTAGGCCCTCGGGCAGTCCGGTTGCTCAGGTTCTCCACCAGTAGTTCTTGTGGACATTGTACAAGTTTGTGCCCAGCATGGTGGGATTCCAGTGTCTTAGGTGTTGTCTGAGGTGTAAGAGAAGGGCTTACCAGCAGTGGCACTATTCCACTGGAAATGTTTGGGCGCATGACCGTACTCCCTTCATCCTCTGGTGCGGGGCTACACTCCATGGGCAGCTCTGTGTTGATCACATCAGGGTCCTGAAAAAGAGAGACAAGAGTCTGTTGCATCTTCAGGGTGACTGTCACAGGTTTGGGCAATACTCCTGCACATCACACAAGGTGCTATGTTCCATCTGGATACCAAATGCTTCGGAGACTTACATGTCTCAGTCCTTCGAGAAGAGACTATGCTTCATTGAAATCAGTAGCTAAGCTGGGGGTCTGTAGTACAAAATTTCTCTTTTGTCAGGTTGGATCCAGACCTCTAGCTGTTAAATGCCACTGGATGGTTGTCCTGGGGTGACTCAACTGTGCCATTTCATTCTGCTTCTCCACCCCATAACTATTCAGCTGTGGCTTTTGAGCAGCATTAGGCAAGGTCAGAATATGGGCCTTGGGAGAGATCTAAGTACTTTTCCATCACAAAATGAAGGACACTTTGCAATTGAGCAAGCTGAGAGCTAAAAGCATCCATTTGCACAGGAACAGTGTATGCTCATTGTGGCTGGGAAGAATATAGGAGAGTGAGAATGGACACTGGAAAAGAACCAACAGCACCACCACACTAGTAAATATCAGTCTGTCGCTTGCTTTAGGGACTAAAGCTAATGTCTTTGGATAGCTGGCATTCAAAGGATTATCATCCACCTGGATACCAAAGTACCTGTGTGCAATACTTGATCCTTTCCAGGATAGTAGAGAAGTTTGGCCGATACTCTGGACTGTGCTGCCAGCATTGTGTCATGATCCGGTACCTTAAAGTTAAAAAAAAAATTCATCAAGATTATTTTGCAAAAAGTGTTTCAATATGAAGTGATCAGAGGTCCAAGGGACCATACTTGGTACATGGCTCAAAGGAGGAGTGCAAAAGTGGATATATCATTTCTGTATCCCTGGATCCTGTCTGATTGAGGAGCCGCATTGTAAAGCAAATTCTGTAGTGCTCTAAGCTACAAGAGGCAGTAGCTGAAGAGACATTTAGCAATACCCACCTAACACAGAGGGCAATCACCATTCCCTGAGTAGAGGTGTCTTTGTCCACATTTTTGACACTTGCTATACCTTGGCTTGTGAGAGTAAGGAGATACTTACACTGGCCCTGGGCAGTTTTTTGGTGGATCCATTCTTCCTCCACTGGTGACAAATTCCAGCACTTCCTGATTGGTTTTGCAAGGGTAGGGCATGTAGCCTAGAGAGAAAATCTCCCAAAGCAGCACTCCAAAGGACCTGTAACAGAAACCAGCCAACAATACCAATCAGGTTTCATTTGTGCTCCAAACCTAGCTTGTAGCTGTGTAGGCAACACCACAGCAATGACCTTTCAAAGCTGCAGTCTAAAGACAGTAATGTGCCATTAGTGTGATTATGAATCAATGTTTACAGAAAAAGACATCCCAATCAATCAAAACCTCTGCTCAAGCTCCAAAACAAGTTTTGCAGAGGTTTCAAAATATTTAATAACGCTGAAGGTGCTCTTTCTGTTGCATTCATTATTAGTAGAGCAGGAAATGCCAGAGTGCTCTTGGCTGTGTATGGTCTAACTAAAAAGAACTGTTAGATCTGGCATGGACATTTCTGGCCTTACTTAGGAAAACTCGAGATGTTTGTGTTGAGGAATACATTTGGTGCTGGTAACTTGGCTGCAGGTTGAGCTCTGGGTGGCAGAAGCCCAAGGCAAGAGTCTGTGACCTGGCTCAGACCCTCTGCAAAACAAGGGTCGAGTACCTGTGGCACTGCCAGGTGACCGGACTCTCAGAGACACAGCAGGAGCCAATGACTCCAGACTTCGGCAGGCTCAGACTGTGAGAGTATAAAAGCCCAGGGCTTCCTTTGTTTGGGGCCCTCCTCAGAGGAAGGAGCTCAAGTTATTTTGTTGTTGCATCTTGATTATTTTAGGGATCCTGGCATCTGACAATCTGCAATAGGGAACCTGGGGCCAAGCTGTTAAGGAAACCTGGTCTGACTGTGAGTGTGGGGGTTGTAGCTGTGAAGGGGCCTCTACCCACCTCAGGTAGTGTGAGTGTTACTTTTGAAGTGTCTCTTGGATGGTCAGACAGGGGCCTTCAAATGTTTCCTTATTTGAATCAGTGTTCAAATGCTCAAGTGTCAATCAGACGCTCAAGCATAAAATCAAGGAAGAGACAGACAGCGAAACTGAAAGGCAGCAGCCTTTCTCATATTGAATGTTGTGCTTTTTTACATCCACAGGTCAGATAGTGCCACTAGAAATTATGTATGGCTTAGGCACAAGGAAGACAGTAGAGTTCTGCCAGAACATCAGCAGGGTCAGAATTTTCAGAGTCACTTTTTGCTACAAAGGTCAAAGTACTTTCCAGTATATGCATGTTACTTATAATAGCCTGTTACAGGAACTGTAGCACTTTCCTTCAAAATATTTAGTGCTGGCTGCTCACAGTTAGGCGCTGATAAGCAATCCCTTGTCTTCCGGCATCACTAACAACTTCAGGAAACTGGGTCAGTGTGGCATTTGAGGGAATGCCTCAGTACAGCATATTGAAGGATCTACTGTTCAGAGAAAGAACTGTTCTTAAGCAACTGGAAAGCTTCCATTCCCCAGCACCTGTGCATGAATGTGCTACTGTTGAGGGGGTGATTATTTTAAAGGAAGCTCAAGTTGCATGAGAAATCAATATATAAATATTGTTTCCTCAGCAACCAGCAAGGACTTCTGATTAAATCTGCTGTCATTCTATACACAGCAAGAAAAGATATACAAAAGAGTAATCCTGGGTGGTACAGAGAGAGTAATTTACAAAGTTTATAAGCAGACCCTGCCACTGGAAGAAACTGAAAGATTCTGAAGGCTGAGGGAAGTATTTGATGATATTTGCCTGAATTTTTAACAGAGACTTCCTGACTGAGAATCTAATCTGCTTTTGCTTTTTATTTCTTGATTGGCTTTATGAGATACTCTACATTTATGAATAGCAAATTTTTATTGCCTCTATTTACATTTGACTTTTAAATACTTATTCTGGATTATTTAGCCATACTTTTACTGAATACAGTAGAAAGACTTCTCATGTTTTTTTGGGAAATTCTGACCTTTTTTAAGGTTCTTGCTGAGCACACTTTTTTTTTTTGAGCAGTGCATTTCTTGATGCTTTTCAGTGAGTAGCAGCAGTGATTAAAAGACATTTATTACCAGGTATCAGTCTTGGAGGTGAAAATTCCCTCTAGAAAAGCTTCTGGTGGCATCCACTTGACAGGAAGCATGGCTCTTCCTCCCTTTCGGTAGTAACTTGCTCTGGGAAAGATAAAATGCATAAACAACGTCACACAGCCTGAAAGGGCTTTGATACAGAAAAGATCTTATCACCACAGTAACAGCAGCCGGGGATTGCATGTAACAGTGGGGGCCAAGTGAGAAAAAGGAAAAGTCATCAACACAAATAGTGCTTTGGAGTAGGATTTTATATTCTCTTTGCAACTGAGATGGAAACCGTTCTTGTGCACAGCTAAAGACATCAATCTGGCCAATGCTTTGCACAGGGTGTTGATGCACCAAGTCTTCTTGACATCATGAAGTGACAATTATGGTTGCTGGGGGTTTTTAATTTTAATTTCAATTTAAGATTATTTATGATCAAGTAGCTAATAAATTTGCCTATGCTTGGTTTAGTGTCTGCAAGTGTTTGTAGTTTCCTGGGACCGCAGTTGAAGTGGATTGGTTCATAAGCGTAGATGTGTTAATTTACAGTCTCTTAACACAAGTTAGTTAACTGTTCATTAAATTCAGACACCTAATGGATGGTTCCACTGCTTCACGTACCATGAAACAGTTCAGACCTGTCAAAATGATACAGATTTCTGGGTTACTCACAGAACTGAAATTGCCCTTCACTTACCTGTAAATATCCCTGGCCATTCCAAAGTCACCAATTTTGGCTATTCGTCCTGCTCCAGTACAGGTCAAAAGACAATTCCTTGCAGCTATATCTCTTAAAAAAAAAATTAAAAATGAATTCTTATTCTAAACTCTTAAGTAGTTAAAGGAGTAAAGAAAAATATTAGACCCAGTCCTGCAAGTCTTGAGTAATCTTTACATAAATGAGAAAAGCCCTGTTAATATACAAAAGAATTCCAGTGACATTATTATTTTTGTTAACCACAATTCCTAAACTGTATTTGAATTATATCTTCTACCCAGCACTTGCCAAGCTTTCCCCATTCACACCGTCTTTCATTAAGGCAGAAAACAGCATCAGTATCAGAAGAGGAGCAGACCCAACCTTTTTGCTTCAACCACATTATGACAGATTTCTTTCTTGCTCTATTTTTTAAAGAGGGACATCTCAGCAGTGTCCCCATCAGTTACAGATGTGATGCTGTTGGACAGCCTTAGTAAGCTGCTTGAAAAGTTATGTGGAACCAGATTTGGTAATCTGTTGCTTTGTTACTTCTGGATATCTCCCATGGAATCAATCAAAGCTCCATATGGAAGCAGCTGTTAGCTGGGTGCCAATTTAACTTGTGAGAAATGGAAGTGATGCCTTTGTGGCCAAGGCTAAAATACTTCTGTTAATTTTAAATATGCATTCTGAAAAGAAACTCATTAAAATCTTAGCACTGTGGGGTTCTTGTTGACTGCCAAGAAAAATAAGCTCCTTGAATAACTCATATGTTTCTTCCCATTGCCAACCTTGAAAAGATCTCTGAGAATTTGGAAGTCAGGTTCAACTTTATCTTCTGTTATCAGCTGTGACTCCTAGATGACAATTCCTGCCCTGTAGAAGCCTCTCTACAACCCCACTACACTACCTTTTACCCCTAGAATTCCTGATATCTGTAATGAAGGCCTTTTTCATTTCCCAACCCACCCTAAGTAATGCTGATATCACTAACAAATACTCTAATACAAAACCTGAGGGAAATTCCTAGTGCTCAGATTTATTAAATTGTTGGCTAAGACAAAATGAATCCAGTCCCACGTTGCTTGTATTAGAGATCCAGCAGTGCAAAGACTGACCCAGAGATTTTTTATTTAAAGTCACGTGCTGCTGTTACTAGTACAGTAAGGATTCTAAAAAATAATGCTGTAGTGATTAACTCCGAAGTTTCCAATTAGAATACTGATCCTCTCATGTAGTTATTAAGAGATCCAAGAGCCAAAACTTGTTGCACATTCTGACTGCTCATTTTAATGACAGATATCTCTAACCCTTTTGCACTGGAACTTTGTTATTGTTGCAATATGAAGGAGTCTGAAAACTGTTCCAGATGTTCTAATCACAAAGGCATATAACATATTCCCATATCTCAGCCTCCTGGCTTTTTGCCATTGTTTCCCTAGATTTCTCCAGCCCCTGCCCGCTGTTTCCCATCTCTGCTGTGCAGCCCCACACGTAGGTACCTGTGTAGTTGACTGCCTGCCTGCTCATCTCCAGGCTGCACCTTGGTTTGTTTAAAGCCTGTGTGACCCTCTGGTGTGCAAGGGCTCTCCTCTCCTTTACACACAAGTGCATGCACTTCACAGTGAGGAATCCAGCTGCCCACTATGCCTAGGAACATTATGAGCTGCAACAATTCTTAATCAAAAACGAAGATTCAATACCCAACCAGGAGTTTTTAAAGGCTAACTACAACCTTTATCCTTTCTATAATATTTTGCTCTTACTTGAAGCATTCTAGATCAACATTTATTTGCTCAACAAATGAGTGAAAAGGAATTTGAAGAGACAAATCCCAAGAGCATGCAAGCAGGTCAGCCACTGAGTTGGGAAGGAAGCCTGAGGAGTGCTTTTATCTCCTGTCATCTTTGCTCTACCCTTCTCTGGTCTTTGGCTCAAATATTATGGACTGTCTTGTGCTGGTGGGGTAGGTCAAGATAGAAAGATGAGAAAGGAAATAAATACCTTAGTGTCTCATCAGCCAACAAAGAGAGTGACACTACCATCTAGTGGACTACAGGGCTAATCTCAACTGTCTTTACATCGCAGGCACCCAAGAATTAGTACTTAAACCCTCTCACTTGGAACAGAACATTGCTCTCCCTCCAGGACTGCAAAGAACAACGTGGAGCCTAACTCCTCAAAAACCCCAGGGAGATCCACCTGGTCATCTAAGCACAAGCCTGTATTGGTAGAGGAAATAATCTGTCTCCCCTGTGGAGATTAGTTCTGTCTAATCCACTGCAAATAGAAAGCATATGAGCCTCATGCACCTTGAGACACATCAGAAGACACTGTTTCTCCTCACCTGTGGATGAAATGATTCTCTTCCAGATATTTACAGCCGCAGGCAATATCCCTAGCTATATTCAGCAGGTCCTGCATTGTTAGTGTGGATGGTTGATTCTGGAAAAGGACATTGAATGGTAAGAGAAGGATAGTGCAAGAATATAGAATATATATAAGAATATATAGAAGAATATAATTAGGCAGAGAATAATCAGAGAAGGACAGAAGAAGGATAAGAGAGAGACATACATACAAGGATGGGGGAAGGGTTAAATGAGTCAGGAGTAAAGAGGAACATAAAGCAGATCAAAGCAAAGTGTTAGAAAATGAGTAAACTCTTATTTAATCCCAAAAACTTTCAGGAGATTTCACCTCTCTTGAGCACCATACATGAGTGCAAGCTGGCAAGAGATTTATGGCCTGGTGTGAATAGCCTGTTAAAGGGGGTGGGAAAGAATTATTCCCTACTGTGTTGTGTGAAATCAAAAGACAAGCAGATTTAAGAGGTGAGATAGAAGAGGGGAAAAAAAAGCACCCACTTTTAAAGAGTGAGTCAATAAATTACCAACAGAAATTAGTGCATGAATGAGAGAGAGAGAGAGAGAGAGAAAAGATGTACAAGTGCACACCTTTACACCAACATCAGCATTCATAAGCTTATCTGTCCTGGTAGGAGAACAGTGATTACTCTCAGGACAATAAGAACAATAAAGAAGACTTCTTCCAGGACCCCTGCTTATTTTCACTCTCTTTACATAGTCCTCCATAGGGAAATTTTTGACAGTTTTTCCTCTAGAACTTCTTTATTGCTCGCAGGAAGGGTGAGGAGAAATCACTATACTGCTAATCAAAGCCTGAGATATATCAAATAAATTAGGCTCAGTATAAATTTGTGCCTCTCCATGTGGTGCCAATGCACACCTGCTGAGGACTTAGTCCTATGAATCCCAATTATAACTTCAGTGCTACGAATTCTGATTATAACTTTAGCTCCTCACGTGCCATCACGGTACACTGAAAACAAAACAGGTATTTAAAAGATTCAATACCTAAAAATTCTAATTGACAGAGAAGTCTAGAATGGCAGGACAGGATGTTACCCTCTCAGTTACTAATAGACTGGCATTTCTGGCCCTGCTTTGATTTTGTCTCACTGACACCTGCTTGCATCCTGCAAACAGCCTCAGGTATCCGCAAGCCTGTGGGAGCTGAGACACACACACTAGCTTGGCTTCAGTGCCTTTATCCAGCTGATAAAAACATAAAAGCAGTCATACTAAAATCAATGACAATCCTCTCAGAGAAGTTCTCTCACCATTCTGGGTCGGTTCTGCTGGAGAAAGCTCTTCATGTCTCCTCCAGCCATGAGCTCCAGCAAAATGAAGCGAGGCAGCGTCTGCAGGCTGACACCGATGCACTGCACAATATTTTGGTGATTGAACTTACTGAAAGCCAAGGTCATAGCACATGGAAGAGAAACACAGCATTAGTACCTGGCCAACATCCATCCATTCTCATTGTGCCTTGATATTTGACAATCTGGACTGAAGCAAATCCTGATGCGGTTACCAAAAAATCTTCAACCATATCAAAATGCCTCTCTGCTTATGACAGCCCCAAGAACAAGGTTATGCCTGGCTTTCCCCATGAAAAGCCTTCAACAGAAGGTATGAAAAGCTAAAAGCAAGGCAGAGCCCTCTGTCTGTGAAGACAGAATTTAATGGACACACTGACTGAATGATGAGAGTGACATGAGAGGGATAAGAAATTTAAGCATGCAAATTTCATTGGCATTTGTGATACAAAGTCCTGGCTGGCTGGGATTTTAATTCAGCACTGGTTATTTTAGACATAGTGTTGTCTAGTTTGGGGATTCAGTTCAGTGTTTAGTCTGCCAGAGCGACTCAGCTAATACCTAGTGCAGCAGCTGCTTCTGTGATTCTGCTTTTAACAAAAGGAACCTGAGGTTGTCACGAAGCACAGTGAGACTCAGTCATTAGACAGCAGCGTCTTCCCTTAGATAATGATTACCTGGATAATAAAGGAACTAAAAATAGAAAGGAAGTTGGGGAAGAGAAAGAGTCGTGCTACTAAGTGAATCAAGGCACTCCTTAATGGATTAAAATTGCTCTTTAAAAAAAATACATCAGTATTACCTCCTGTTCAGCTACCAAAGTTCTTGCAGACTGTAGGGAGTGGCACTATGTCATGAGATTCATGCTTTAATAGCAGAAAACCAGCCTCTAAGTAAGAGCTGGGCCAGACAATGAGAAGAAAAACTTCACATTGCACAAGTTCAAAATGCATAAATTCCAAATTATGATCAACCTCCACTATGCTACTATTTGAAAGTTACCCTTGATCCTACTATTGTCTTAAGATTATGGATTTCTGTTAATGAAGTAAATTCTAAGGCTGGAATACCTCGAGTACAGGTGGTAATAGGAGTGTCTGTCTCTTATCTCTCCCAAGGAGGTTTTATAGATGTTTTAATTCACTGCCAGAGAGTCATGCACATAGGACCTTATAAAGGTTCTGCCAAGCTTGCAAAGACATCAAATCAAATGCAGAACATGTTTGTACAAAAATATTGTACCTTCTTACTCCTTTGAACAGGACCAGCAGAACCAAACAATATAAGTTTTTGTTAAATTATAATGATTTTTGGGTGGGATAGAGTTAATTTTCCTCACAGTAGCTCATATGGTGCTATATTTTGTATTTGTGATCCAAACAGTGTTGACAACACATTGATATTTTAGCTACTGCTGAGCAGTGCTTACACAGCATTAAGGTTTTCACACACACACCTCCCCCGCAGTGAGAAGGCTGCGAGGACAAGAGGTTGTGAGGGGACACAGCCAGGACAGCTGGCTCCAAATGACCAAAAGGACATCCCATACTGTATGGTGTCATGCAGTATGCTGGGGAAAGAAGAAGGAGAAGGGGAAAGAGTCAGAGTTTGGCATTTGTCTTCCCAAGTAGCTGCTGTGCATGACAGAGTCCTGCTTTCCAGGGATGGGTGAACACATGCCTGCTCATCGGAAGTAGGGAATTAATTCTTCAACGCTGCTTGGTTTGCTCACACAGATTTTGCTTTACCTATTAAACTGTTTTTATCTCAACCATGAACATTCTTGTCCTTCTGATTCTCTTCTCCATCCCTCTGCTGTATGCAGCCAAGTTGCCTACTGGCATTAAAGCACCAGACAGGCAACAAAAGAACCTCTGTTATCTTGTTCAAGATAAACAAGTAGTATCTTATATGCTACTAAAATGCCATCTGGTGAAAAATAAGACTGAACTTCTTTTCTGAGCACAGGCAAGGGAACAAATTATTCTATGATTACCTGCATTACTCTTTTTTCCCCTGCCCACCATCAGAGAAAAACCCCTTAAACTAACCTGATAATCAATGCTTCCATCAGGAAATCCATCTCATCTTGTTCAGAGCAGACTTCTGGCAGGGTCTGTTGAGAGGTAAAGGGAGTGAGGGCCATCCCACCAAATAATTGAGAATATTTGTGTGACCACCAGAGAAAGAATGAAAAAAAGAAAATAAAAGAATGAGCATGTAACATGTAAATCACCTCAGGAACCTAAGGGCAGGGGCTCGTCCTTTCACTGCCCAGTTTATTTCACTGTATGTGACCCATTTGTTAGTTAAAGTCACAAGAGAGAACCAGTGACCCACTTGAAGATTTTTTTGTGTGAATTGAACTCTGCACAATTCTGGACCAAAAATAGCTTCAGGTACACATCAAGAAAAATATTAAGTGGGGACTTACAAACCTAGAAAGGTCTTTAAAATGAAAATTGTTTTTTTATTCTCCCCCTCCCCTCTCCCCCACATTGCAGCACATGCTTGCATGTTGTATTACGCATACAGCCACTTGATTTAAATACTTGTGTCACACAACCCTATAGCCCTCTTTCCTGCCAGCAGATTTGGATAACATCTTCTGCTGATACAATGAACTGGATTACCACAAATGAACAACATGCTGATCTCCTTGTGTTTGCCCCTGTGCTCTGGTTATTCTCCCTGTCTGGATACTGAAACTGAGTTGGGCAGTTCCAACTTCTTATTAGTGTCCTGGGTTTTCACCCACATTTGTACAGTGGCACAGGGAAGTTCATGACATGAAAGACAGGATGAATAACAGTAGAACTTCTTTTTATTAATGAAGGCTATGTTTTTGAGCTGAGCTCACACAAGCAGATTTGGTTCTGAGTCACAAGCTTATAAAATAACAGATGCAGACTATGAGCATCCTTAACTTCAGGGCTGAGTAATTGACAAATCCTGAGGCAATGCAGTAATTTTGGAGAAAGCCAGCCTGTCGTCTCTTGTCATCAATAACATGGGAGATTAGCGTGATATTGCAGTATATATTCACAACACTGTGCAATCTCAAGACACTACCTGAAAATTTCACATACAGTAGAAAAACACTACTCTCAGCATCAATTGAGAGACAACACAGACTTTTAAATACATAATATGAAAAACTTAGGAGAAAGCACTCAAAGCTGATAATGCCTGGATGCAGCAATGTGTTCAAGCTTGCATCACACATATGGATATGCCATCATGCATGTGATCAACATGAATTTCCAGCTGGAACAGTGATAAAATAATATAGCTCTTATGTGTAATTATTGTGTAAGAAATTTGTGGGTACTGACCTTGATAGCCACTTGTAGAGGGTTGGGATCCCCTGCAATGCCTACCACAGTTCCCTCATAAACCTCACCAAATGCACCATGTCCTAGTGCCCTGCAAGAAAACAAAAGACAGGGAACAGATGTTATATGTCCTTGGATCCAGTGTTGGCCAAGCTCTTCTCTTCATCCAGTCCAAGACAAATCAAAAACAGAGTTTTGTTTTCATCTCAAAGCTTCTGAAAATAGCTTATCAGTATTTTCTGTCACTGTCACTAAAAAAGGGAGGTTGGATCCTTGATGGTTTTGAGCAAGAAACAGGCCTGCTCAGTCCTAGGGTCTATCATCAAGTGTGGCAAAAGCAAGATGAGAAAAATGGAGAATAATGGAATAAGGTGGCTGCAGACTGATGTCTTCAGGAGATTGTGTAAGACATAAGAATGACCAAATTGTTCTTTCTATAGTTTATGTAGCTTTGATCAGTATCATCTGGGTGGTATGGAGTTGAAGAGAAGCCCAGCAACTATCTCCTTGTGACAGAAAATTTCCTTGTGATAGGAAATGCTGAAACAGACATCCTGCTACAGACTTGGAAGGGAGCTACTGCCAGGAGGCAAGTGCAATAAAAACACAATCACAGTAGAGGTGAAATGTGTGGGAACATGGAGCAGGAGACTCATGATCTTACACTTCTCCTTTAGTACTTTATGGAATCAAATTATCTTAGAGAACATAGCAAGTATCACATCTGTTGTGTTTTGGCTGGCTTGGACTGGGTGCTTTGCAGTCAGTCAGACCAGTGGCCCTTGTTCTCTCACCGAAGCAGAGAGATATTCTTCCGTGGGATCTCCTTCAGCTCGCTCAGAGTGGCGGCCTTCCCTGCAAAGCAGTAGTTGGGGTTGTAGTCAGTCATGATGACAGATGTACGGATTTTGCTCAGTTTATATTCCGGGCTCTGCAGTCGTGCTCTGGATCCTTCCAACTGCTGCTTCTTCAGATGGTAAACTGCAGATGGAGAGAAGAATAAAAATTCACAAGAAGATCTACAACTGGACAGAACAGATAATGCTGGCCACACAGAACAGGATGACACCAATCCCATAATTATAAATGGTCCAGGAACATCTCTGGCTTGCCAGTATCGTGCTCTTCTTCACAGTCTTCAGTGATTTAGTATTGGATGTGCAAACAGTCTTATTCCTGCAGGCACCCAATCACCTGGGAACAACTTAGGTTTCCCATGCTGCTTTGGGCATTGCCTGTGGAAGAGAGCTCCACAAGACATCTTGCTGACATCAAGTCCCAAAAATCAAACCATCTCCCTGAATGAATTATATATTTAATTGCAGGTTGTGATTTCATCTGGCTACAGAAACACCTGCTAAGAAGGCTTTCCTAGCTCTTTTGCTCTGTGGCAAATAACAGGAAAGAGCAGTCCTTGCCCTTTGGGACTATGCTTGTGCCCAGATGTGGGGGTGATGTTTTCTATCACTTCATTTTCCCTGTTCTTCCAATCTACTTGGGAGACCACAACACTTTGGCTCCAAGTATTGAAAGCAGTGGAACATGGCCAGGTGGTCTCCTTTTGTCTAATTTAACTGGAAAAAGCCAGGTCAAAGGGTGATAAGAAGTAAGTTTATCTTACTGATAGACAGGCTGCCACAAGTGAGGATCATTCCAAGCACCACAATCACAGACACCACAGCTAAGAGGAGGGGGAGAGGCAGCTGTCCCTCTGGTATAGGACCCTGGGGCACTGGAAGAATGAAAATAGAGGTGCATTAATCAGAAAACAAGAAGAGCTACTGTAAAGCATCCCTCTGAAGGTTGCTTATATTTCAGAAAACAGTACAGAGATCATGGTCAGAGTATCTTATAAAAATTACACCAAATTCCTCTATAGCCCTGAATGTTAGAAAAGTAATAAATAATTTAAAAATCATTGTGAAGACAGAACACAAACTGATAAAACACGGATTTCTTATCCATTCTTCACTTTTCTATAAATGGGTAATATCACTACTCATAAGTTGAAAATTTCTACAGACTTGATGTTTTGAAGCTCCAAGAGACTGTGAGAGGAAATGACTGTGAGTACAAGGCATCAGCTGACAGGCACAGTGGGAAACTGCTGTGGAAGGAAGCAATTTGTGGCTTAAATAACTCAGCAGTAGGTGGTACGTTTTCCTGGAGAGGTATTTATGCTTAAATATCTGATACACTGAGCCCATTCAGGAAATTTACATGACGTCTCTTTACAGATATTTTACCTCCTGCCTAATCCAAAGGTGAATGTTTGAGATGATGGCAGAGATGCAGCTCAGCATGTAAACAAAGGTCAGCAGGAATTTTCAGTCCTATGTTTGACTGACATTTCTCACAACACCCTGTCCACTGGAGCCACTAGCTGTAACTTGGGAATTGAACATCAAAAAAGCCAGAAGGAGATATGATATAAAGAGATGTTATCCAATGAGGCTGAAACTTCTTAACTTACCAGTGCAGGTGACATTGTCATTGGCCAGCACAGCCCCCATCTCACACTGGCAGACTGGCAGGTTGGTGTCAGGGTCCCGCTTGCAGTTGTCTGAGTGGCAGTGGCTGCAGTTAAGGTAGATCTGAACCTCCACCTCACCATGACTCTCCATGGCTGAACAAAGAATCAGACACAACAGGTGGGCTTAGTTCAGTTTTTCCACTCTTGTTCCAGTAAGGTCAAAAAAACCAACAAAACAAAACCCAGCAGGTACCTACAACTTCTCTCCTTCTCTGCAGGAGAGAAGATAGTCCAACACAGTGTGGACATGTCAGAAGCCTGATGGGGATCAGTAGGGAAGAAGATATTTGGTTCCTTAAGCAAACAAAGAGGCCTTGAAGTGAATTGACCTGGAAAAGTCAGGGACTGAGGATGTGCAGTTGAACATGATGACTGGTGTCTCTCCTGGTTTAGAGGCTGAGAGAAAAAAGTGTCCCAGAGCACTATGGAAATATTTAAAGAAATGACCACAGCTAAAGATCTGACCTGCAGTGTGACATAAGCTTTAATGAAATGAATAAAAAAACAAAGACAGGAGAAAAGGGAGGAGGAAAGAGGAAATAGAGAGGAAGAAGGAAAAAGGAGGAAAAAAAAAAATGAGAATAAGAACCACATCGTACCTGCCAAGGGATGCAAGAAGATCTCTCCTATGGGGTTCACAAAAGAGATGCCATCCTGCCCACCAGCTGTGATATCATCACTATCAGAGGCATGTCCCCCTGGGGAGAGAAGAGTATGGCTAGCTGATCAGTGCTGCATGCTGCAAAAAATGGGATGGCTCTGAAGGGCTGCATTCATTCCCATTATCCCCTGGGGTCACTCTGCAACCTTCCAGTGATATTGGAGGGTATAATGCCAAACCCTCACTTGACCCAGCCACTACCAAGGTTAGTGAAGTGACTTTATCTAACGCAGGTTTCTCAGATCAGCAACGTAAAAATGTATTTGTTTCAAACAGAAAAAAGAGATGGAACATTTTCCATGGGTAACTTGGGAATGGGTGAAGGGGTGATTCATCACACCTTCCAAATATTAAATCACATAGGAACCCTTTTAGAACCTTGATTCCCCAGTTATAGAGAGATGGTGGAGAGCAGGGTGGGTTTCTTACTGTTCAGCTTGAAGTATCTGTGCCTCACCACATGCAGCCCTGCTCCTCTGCACTATCCCTGACCTGCAGGTGCTCTGAAGGGCACAAAATTAGTCACCATGACTATTGCCCCAGCAGGCTTACCTCTGTACCCTCCGCCTCCTCCCCCAGAAGTACAAGCTCCTCCTCCTCCACCAAAACCACCAGAGGTGGTCCACTGGAGCTTGGCTAGTGCTTGGGGACAAGCTTGACCTCCTTCTCCACCCTCCAGAAGAGACTTCCCAGCCTGAGGAAGCAGACTCTCATCTTGCCAGCCGCCACCTCCACCTTCAGTCAGATGGCGAGAAAAGGAAACAAGAACAGGTGAGAGAAGCACAGGCAGAGATGCTTTGTAGAGAGAAAAAATTATTAATTTCTTAAGTGCCTAGCTCAAGGTAAACCTTCCTTTAAAATAATATACAGACAAGCTCCTTGCTGCCATGGGAAATAACAAACAGGAAATCTAATGCAAAGCCTGTGATTGTGCTGCCTAAACCAACACCTCAGCACTAATTTCTTGTGGTGTTAAGAAAATAAGGAACCCATCACTCCTCTTCAGGATAACTGGTTAGGGCAGTCAGCCATATAAGATGCTGAGTTTCATAGGGAAATAAAAATAAATTGGATTTCTAAATCTTACTTTAGTGGCCTCTCTGTAAGCCTACTACAGCAGGAGATGGACAACCACTGGATTTATCTCTTAGGAGCTGATTCTAGGCACATCCAGCACAAGATTATAAGTAAACTTCCATTTCTGGTGTAATTCCCATAACAGAATTGTTGTTAGGGTTTAAGGGGAGTAAGAGGAAAAAGTATTCTCTTCAAAGGCTACTGTTAGAGTGTGAAGGAGCAGGCTCCATCCCCCAAATATAATTCTCCCTGGTTCAGCTGATAGAGAAGTCCTCCTACGTAATTGCCTCTACTGGAGCACTCATCACCTGTCCTGTGCACTCTCTTTTTATCTGGTGACACAACATATCAGAAGACATCCCTTACAGACAACCAGCATATTTCTAAAAACAACTGCCACATAAGAATTCCAAAAGACTGAAAAAAGAAGTCCTTCACTTCATGCCTACAGGACAATGACTGTATTCAGCCACATGATTCAGACCTCATGTGGTTTTAGTGTCTCACCTGCTGCCCCAGTCCTCCCACTGACTCCGGGTACTGCAGTGCTGTTCTCAAATTGCTCCAGGGGCGCATCATCCAGGGAGTTGTCCTGAGCCTTCAGGTAGGCTTTTCCTCCTCCTCCTGCTGCGATGAGCAAAGGTTCGAAAATCCCATCCTTCTGCTGGAAAACCCCCCATCAAACATCAGAAAAACTTCACATCCCTTGGATATGTGAACTCACACAAACTTAACAAAGATCATGAAAGCATCCCAAAGAAGAGTGGCCTATGGCCAGGGCAATGCTACTGCTTGTCTCAGAGAATCATTACAAAAATATTTCACATCATGTTCCTGAGTACAAAAGTAACTGTTTAACTGAACATCAAGGTTTTGTGATTCATTTTTTTAGGACTGCTGCCAACATTAGAGTGGGATCCTGGTGTAATTCCCACATCTGAGCTGTTAAGGACTGAGGAACCAGTTCAGCTAGCCTAGTGACAGTGATAAATATGAACAAGGATATGAAAAGAGATAAACAACTGAAAAGAAAAAACCAAAGAGAGACAGAAACCTGAAAGGGAGGCAGAAGAGGAAGATTCATTTTTCATAGTCTTTTTTAAAATAACTCTTTATCATATGCCATGACGGACAGTGAGAGCTAGTTGCTTTGCTGGACGCTGTCAGGCAGGATACAAAGAGGAAATACTTACTCTAAAGATGTAGGTTGCTCCTCCTCCACCCCCACCTCCTCCAGCCCATTCCTTCAGGTCCCTTTTTTTTTTGTAATCTTCTTCAATGAGAGATGACTCCCCTAAGCAGATCTTCTGCGTTTCAGGATTGCCCTGAAAGAAGACAAGAAATGGACTCATATCAGCAAAGTCCAACTCTTGAGACTTGTCTGTGTATTTCAGTATAATTATGTCCTAATGCCTGTCATGCATACTAGACATATATAAACCAGTATGTAGCTTATCTTTGTAGAAAGTGACCTTTTCTGCTATTGACTGAGGGATAGATCTGTCTGTAACTTCTGATTTGCAAACTCACTTTACACAGGCAAATGAATAAAGATGCATAGGAAAAAATGTAATAACTCATTGTTAATTTCACATAACTAATGTTTTGCATATTTAGATCTTCTTATAACCAAAAACATTTAAATATTTTTGATTATGGATTAATTTGAGAACTTTCTTACTGACACATTTACGATTTACTTCTCAAGGAGATAAACGCATAAAGGTGACCCACATATTGTTAAGAATAATATATTGATCCATCTTAGAAGAGTAATTTGGAGGCTCAGAAGTTTCCTGCACCAGTCTTACTGCCTGTGTCTTCTCATTCATGCAGAATGACAGAATGGGGAAGACTGGAGGTCATCTAGTCAGTCCAACCTCCCTGCTCAAGCAGACCTCCCTGGAAAGTGTAACTCAGGATTGTGTCCTGATGGCTTTTGGCTGTCTCCAGAGAAGGAGACTCTACAATCCCTCTGGGTAGCTGGTTCCAGTTCTCAGTCACCCCCACAGCAAAGAAGGTCTTCATCACATTCAGGTGGAACATGTTCCATTTTCTGCCCATTGCGTCTCATCCCAAGACTGAGACTGAGACTGATTGAAAGGTGACAGAGGAAGAGCTCTTTCTCAATTCTGTTAGTGATGATGCATGGCCTTTCTTAGTTGGTGAAGCAATTTGTCTGGTTAATTCAAACAGGAGAACAAAAGATGGCAAGGAAGATGAAGACCAGGGAAAAGCAACTGGGGTAAATCTGAGGAGAGAGCATCAAGGTTTGGAGCTGCAAGACTTCTCCAGAGAAAGAAAAACAAACATTAGTCACCCATTATACAGATTCATCACAGTTTCCAAAGCCAAAGAAAGCTGGGCTTTGGAAGTGGGAAAAATTAACTGCAACTTTTTCCAGTAGCATCTGCCAAAGGGAGATAGTGCTGGGTTGTAATTTGCAATTTGGAGAACAAATGATGAAATGTAAGGGATTAACAGACAACTTTTCAGATTATGACCTAAAACTAGAGAGTGCACTGAGAAGGGAATTGCAGATACAAAAATGTATTTTTATTTAAATATGTATGATTCTTGAACTATATAAAGTGAAGAAAATGTGGGTTTAGAGTCTATTGCAGCATCTGGGTGAGACATCATATCCTGCAGGAAAGTAAACAGCAGCTTCAAATTCCTACAGGAATAGTTTATGCATCCCCAAACACACCAGTCTGTGGGGAAAAAACAGCTTTGTTCATAGGCAGGGGTTAACAGCAGCTCTGGAACAAGGCAGTATCAAAAACTGACACTGAAAAGAGGTAGTTTTTGAGTCTAAGCGATAAAAGGACTTTCAGATCACTTGGTCTAGCATTTAGAGGACACATATATAAGCATTCATGTCACAAATTTCCATTTCTCATGAGTGTTTTTTTATCATCACAAAAACCTAATCCAGTGGCCACTGGAGTTAGTAGGAAGATTCTCACTGGTTTTAGTAGGCTTTGGATTCAGACTTTAGTCTCTAAGTTTAGAGAGTATGTAACACAGTGCAGCCACAACGCTGCTGGAAGCTTCCATAAATAATAGTAAATTTTCTGAAAATCCTGGCAGACAGAAAAAACCCCAGACTGGGGAAAAACAACTGAGGGAGTACATCACTTGCATATGAGCTTTCTGCTTAAAATCAGCACAAGAGAGCTGATGGAGAACTTATTTCAAACACCAGGAGCTTAAAGCAAAGTTTCTGTGGGCTTCATATTTGTTTGTGCACTTTGGGATTGTTTTTCTTTTCAGTGTTCCTTATATCTGTTTTGAGATTCTTTCTAACTTCTTTTATTGGTTCTTTCCTGTCTCCTGACTGGATTTCATTGCTGGATTTTGGGATTTCTATCTTTTATCTCCAAACCTCAAGCCACCCACTGAATAGTATCTGCAAGGTCTCTGCCCACATGTGCTTTGTGGCCCTCACCCCAGGGCAGGCATCCTCCCCCTGCTGCCCCACTAAGATGTACAGCAGCTCATCTTTCTCCAGGTGGAAGGTGGCTGAGATGAAGACCCCGTGGGACCTCTTATTGTGGTTTTTGGCTCCCTTCCCCCCGGCTGCTCCATAGGCAGAAATCCTGCAAGACAAAGTAAATAATTGAAGAAACAACTCTCACAGTTCTCATCCCCAAAGTAAATCCATCTGCAAGGTCTCCCCAGCCTTCACTTCCAAACAGACATTTCTCCAGAGCAGGCTCCCCTGCTGTAGCACTCGTGGCTATGCTTTGTCTGAGACCCACATTGGTTACACAAGAGGACAGACCAACCCACACCTGAGTGCTGAAACAGAGACTGCAGGAGCAAATAGCATGAGCTGGTATAGCCCACTCCAGAAGTCTAAGGCTACAAGACTGAGATGATGGCAGAACTTCTACTTGACTGCATGCCTACACCCACTCCTGACCTCTTCTACATCACTGCTCACCCTTCCCTGCTTCACAGTAGCTCAGATATTTATCCTTATAGCTACCCCTCCCGTATCTTCAGTGTCCCCTCCACCCACTCAGTACAGGTGGTCCCACACTCATGCTTGTTGAAACTCCACAAACAAAAAGCAGTGAGAGGCGGCTGCCTCCCTCCCCAGCAGACACTGATCCTCACCTGTATCTGTTTGTGGCTGGCACTCTCCAGACCTGCACTCCCCGGAGCCTGCCCTCCTTCTCCACAGTCACTGACACATTGCTGTTCTTGTAGGCACTGTCACACTGAGCTTGAGTTGGCCCACGGGGACCACTGGCACCACATGTTGAGAACCACCACAGAACAACCGTCGTGTCCCCTGTGACCAAAACAGCAAGAGTTGAGTCATAAGATGTTGAGATGTGAGCTTCCCTGTATTTCTCAGTATTACATTATACCCACCTTCTTCTAGTCATAGCACAACTGCTGCTTTGCTTTTCTCCTCTCTCACCTTATTTCCTGCACACTATTTGATAAATCATGGGCTGAAGATAAACCTTATCAATTGGGTGTGAGGGGGGAAAGGAAGAGGGAAGAGGGACTGAACTTCTAACAAGGGGTTTATCAAAGTGTCTCACAGACATGATCAAGTTCCTCTTCTCAGTGCCAGTCTGGAGCAAGAAGATGTTCAACTTTCCAAATGAGAACTAAGTCATGTGCACAGAGACAAGGGTTGAAAACATCTGTCATCACAGCTAGTGACCATTTATGAAACACAATGGAAGTTTTAAAGAACTTGTCTCAGGCTCTCACAAGAAACCTGTGGTGGCAGAAAAAGCCAGGGGACAGCCTTTTGCTACCATCTGTAGGGACCCCTCTTCCCCAAGCAATTTCTTTCCTGGTTCTCATTAAGCATTATTCTTTTCTTTCTACAACAGTGCAGCAGATAAGGATGTCCTCCCTTTCAAAACCATTTTCTAAGAGCCAAAAAAGTCCATCTTCTCCACTGAATTTCATGAGGCCTAAGAATAAAACTTTTCAGTAACGTATCTAAAAACTGTGTGATGCAGTGCACAAAAGCCAGGGTCAAAAGTAGAACTGTTTAAGAGCTGAATGATTAAAATAGAGGTAAAAATTACAAACTTTTAAAAGAAAAATTCCAATCTTGTTTAAAGGAAAAGGCAAGCAAAACTATCCCCAACAGAAATGCTCATCCTGTGAACATGCAGATGGATCAATGCAGTATGAGTTTCAGCTGCGTGACAGCATTCCCCTGAGCTAATGGGGACAGACAGCAGTGCAGATTGTCATATTCCAGGTGGACACGGCCTTCAGGAGCTGGTACAGTCACACACTGGTATTTTCTGGCTGCAAAACAGCCTCAAGAGAACCTCTAGTCCTCACCTTCTCCTTTAGACAGCTCTTCTCACCCACACAATTCTTATCTGTCCTGCAGAGTGGCAATCTCTACCACTATCAGTAAATTAGTCCCCAGTGTTCCCCGTTCTCCTATTTTTTCATCCAATTTTTCTCTTTGGTGGATTTCCTCATCCTCACTTACTTCTCCCTGGATTTTCATCTTTGCACCACTTTTACACCACTATTCTACATTCATTTTATTCTGCTTCAGTGCTCAGCACTCTTTCTATTCCCAACTTTCTGTACAGGTCTATACCTTTTGTTCCTAAGCTGCCTTTCCGTGCACTCAGATTCGGAGTCATGCAGTTTCTGTTCTCACTTGAAGAGATTCTGCTTTTCTTTAAAGAGGACCTGGCATTTCAGGGCTGGTGAGCTGGTCTCCAGCAAACTGTTTCCCTCAAGCCAAACAGTGATGACCTGACACAATGTCCACATCTTTGGCATGGATTATATTGCTCATACAGTTGTCTCATTGCTGCAGGCAGGCAGATCACACACAGGAGACAGGAAGGGAGACACCTTTTATAGCCAAGAGACAGGTTTTCAGTACTGAATCATGTACCTGGGAGGGAGGGCTCTTCCAGGGGGTTCAGAAGGTGCTCATCCAAGATACTAATCTCACGTGGGTACTGGCGTTTCTCACCAAAATGATTCGGTTGTCTTCCTGTAATAGTTTGTGGAACAGAGGAAAGAGATGGGGAGTATGGTAGAAAAGAGGGATGGAGAATTTAAAGATTACATGAATTAATTAAGTACAACCATTTGGTTAAGTTAAGTAAATATTACCTTGGGTAGGAAAGGTGTTTTGAGCGATCATAATTTTGTACTACTCTTTTGAGCCCATGTCTTAGGTTAGCTACTTGTATCTGTGCTGAAGGCAGTGGGTTTTCACATGAACACAGACCCTCCATGTTATCCCCCCCTCCATGCAGGATAAGCTCCTTGGTCTTCCTCTAGCTGTGATTACAAGAGATTTTAGGAAAAACATAGCGTGGGAGAACAGATACCACGTGTTGATGTTCTGCAAGTCAAAGAGGCAGGTGACAATTCTGGACAGTCAAATGACCGGAGGTGTAAAGGAGAGTGGTGACAAAAATAATTTTCTTTGGATCTAAATAGTGTCATGGCAAGTAACCCAGCTTAACAGACCACTCCCACCTCAGCAACCAACTTTGAGCACCTGAGAGCTCACTTAGAAAGTAAATAGCTAAATAAAATTACATGTCTCACTAACATAAACAGTTAAGAAACAGAAACATAACCTTGACACAAGCTGTAAATCTTTGGACAAACCTTTTTGTAAATCACAGAGCAATACCGTACATTTCTGACCACTGAGACAGGCCTTTGAAAACCAGCCCCTTCTCAGAGAGAAGGAATTTCAAATCAATTGCTGATCCAAAATATCTGATACATTGAGAACACCACAACACCAATGCTGCCTTACAACAGGAAAAGATATTAATGAACCTTTGCCTCATAATCTGCAAACATCCTGTTTCATTAAATTACCTATTTTTATGCAGATTTTTGATTGGAAAATCTCTAAGAGAAACGACAGGCTTCTTTCCATTTTGTGAGCCCTCAATTAATTTAATACTGAACATTTTTCATCAGTTGAAAAACATTACAAATATTTCAATTTGTTCCAGTTGTGAGAAACTAACAGCTGCCTGATGCTCTACTGAAAAGAGACTCACTCAGTTCCAGATGGACAATTATCTCTGCCACAAAGCCACTGCTCTAAATAGCAATAATTAACACCCTTGTTAGCTGTGTCAGAAAGGCCAAATAACTAATTGAAGCATGGAGACCTTGCTGAGCTTTTACTCCTGAGAATATTCCCCCCAGGTCTGACTGAAAGCACATTAATGCATGCAAATAAAAGAAAGCTTTGTACTGACACCCTCTGTTCATACTGAGATGGAGAACTTCAATGGATGGAGTTGTCAAGCCAGTGAAAAATGAAATTAACCCAAAACAAATGAAATTAATCAAATGCAAGGAGGAAAACAGAATAAAAAACACAATGCATGGTCAGAAAAGATGCTCCCCGAAGCCTGTGCTGAATTACAAATTCCAAAGGTCACAACAGTTTCAGATACTTAAAGATGTACAAGAAGTTCGGTAATGTTTGCCAGAGCAAAGGAATGTGAGTCACTCTGAAACAGAGTCGATCTGTGTGTCTGCATGGATTTTTTTGTGGCACCCCAACTGAGTATCCTAAGGCAAAGCCTCATTTCCAAACAGACTTTCCTCCTTCTCCAAACAGTCTCAAACCCTTGCTCTCCAGAAGAAACCTTCTGTCTCCTCTGTACTAAGCAGCAGATGAGCTGCAAAGCAGGCTGAGCATCTGCCTGTCCACATGAGCTGTTAACTCTTTGAATGCTGGTGTTTTATGCACTGTCAGACACGAACTTGTAAGGTGGCATTTTCTACAAACCTAGTGTAGCCCTGGGAGCCAGGGTCTGGTGTTCCAGTCTATTTTAGTTTCCACTTCCTCTTCTAACAGCCAACATGCTGGCAGTAGAGTGAATGGAAGGGAACAAGAATTAATTCATATTAAGGTGCATCTATATTAAAAAAAAAATGGGAAGAGCACAGACTTCCTTTCTCCAGGTTTTAGCTAACACTGATTTCCCCACTGAAAAGAGAGAGAATTATAAAGGAGAAAGAGAGGGCAGCCTCTGCAGGCAGAGAGCTAAAGTAATTCATTCCTTCGCTGCTTCAATGTCTCTGTGACTGTAATGAAAATAGAGATAGAGATCTGGTGGCTGAGATTAATCAGAGTAAGATGCCTCACAGGATCCTCAAGGTATGAATGGTCTCCTCAGAGATCCCACCTTACTAATGCTGGTTGCAGTACTCCTGGAAATCAGACTTTGCTGGACCAGGGACTCTAAAATCAAGTACAGATAGTCTATACAAAAGCTCTCTTTGGACAGTCTTGCCATTTATAAAGCAATCTTCTGGGAAATTGCAAATGGCGCACAGACTGAAATGCAATTTCTAGGCCAGGGCAGTAGAGTTTGATAGACCTACAAGACCCATGATCTTAATTGGAATAATACAATGCTTTGAGCACCAAAAGATAATAGTAAAGGCAGTGAGAAGGGCAACTCAACTATCAGCATTCTATTTGCTGTGCCAGTCCACATTTTTATGTTAAGGCACTCAGAATTTAGACCTCTTCCTATATAAGCACTGATTCACTGAAACAATGAAATATCTTTATGCCTGTCTGCCAGAAGTTCTCACAATGAACCAGACACATCATCCAGTCTGTGACACTGTCTTACACAAGGTGGTTGTAAAAGCCAAAATGTGCTTTCTCCTCGCCTTTTTCACAGGGAGAAACATCTGTCAATGCCCAGGAGCTGCCATCCAAAGAATGGTCTGTTTGGGTTTTGTCCTTATTGATGATGTCTCTTGAGCTGCCCTCACTACTCAGTTGTTCTCTTAAATCTTACTGAACGTTTTCTCTCAGTTTTGAGTATATGGAAAACCTCACCTTCTTTCCCATCTTGCATACAAAAACAGTGCTTTCATTCTGAGTTTTGTAGAGAGTTGAACTACAAGATTGAAATGAATGGAGAAAATAATATTTACATCCAAGCAAGCAGCAAATCTTTCCTTCCTGCCATACATCCTTCCTGCTGTCCTCATGAAAAGAATTCACTGCTTGGATTTTAATTGGCTCTGTCTCTGACATCTGAAACCTGTCCTTGCCAGGGAGAAGTAATTTCATTACTGAAAACACAGCAGAGCTGCTGGGCTTCTCTGCAACCTAACTGAATTAAAGTCATGAGAAGACAAATACAAGGGGGTTGCTTTCAGAGGCGAGAAAACGTCAATTTGCAAAGAGGATTCAAGAAACAATAGCAAGCGCAAGGCTTCCGAGAAATGTTTCCTTCGTGATATGTTTCTTCTGCATGACTCACACATCTCTGGGTCGTGCCTTCAGATGGGGTAAATGCCAGTTGCTCCTGGACACCAGTGCAATTTATCCCAAGTGAAAATAAGGAGTAACTCGGGCAGTCTAATGGACAAGTTCTGATAACATTGCTGCAGGGGCATTTATGTCCCACCTGTTTGCCAAAGGATGCGTGCCTACATCACTCCCATCAAAATGTCTGTGGGGAAACTGAAGGATCTACCTGAGGGCAGTAAACTCCAGCAGTGGGGTGCACATCAGCTGGCTGGAGTCACTCCCTACAGTTTCCCCAAGATTTCAGAACAAGCTGTTGCCATGGAGGTTCCAAAGTGTTTGGGAGAGAGGGCTGTTGAGGAGCTGGAGTGAAAAAAATGAAATTACCATAGAGGATCAGCTTTCCCTCTTAATTTCAAGTGAAAGTCTGCATCCTCAGCATTTTATAGAAGAGTGGTTTCAGTGCCCACAGAACAAAGGGACAGAGAAGAGGACACTGAACCAGAAAAGGCTGGGAAGGAATAGTAGCTTCTGTTGATGAGCTTTTAACACATCTGTTTTGACATAAGCCGTCCCATATGTTATGTTAGGCTACAGCTAGCCACTTCAGGGACATGCTATTACCCTAGAAGCTGACATACTGGGTGTGGTGACACGTAGAATGGTACAGTATCACCAATCCACATTTTGACTGCAACAGAAGTCACCACTCAAGTGAGGCACATCTTCCAGTTCCTTTGCAACAGAGCATGTCTTTTCCTCAGGGACAAAAGAAGGCACTTTCTAGTATCTGCAAGTAGTTCAAGTATCTAACTTCTTTCCCCTTGAATGCTAAGAAAAACCATTACAACTCTTTTTAACATGTTTCAAAGGGTAGCATGGCTCCATTTTTCTCTGGAATAGTTGTCAGTCACGTTCACGGTAATGTAGCAAAGGAAAGCTGTTATATATATCTGACAGTGAAAGCTGATGTACCTCCTTACAGACTAAAACAAACTTGGAGTAATCTAAATTTTACTGTCAGAGAGTCAATTTACTCCTTCATTTTCTTCCTCTTCTCCACAAAATTATGGTGACTTTCCCCTTTGATTTCAACAAATTTATTTCAGCTGTTAATTACCAGGGTGCACAGATCAGCAGGGACTGTGAAAAAACAGTGTGATGTAATCCTTCCATTTAGGGCGAAGGAATAAGTTTAATGTTTCTTGCCAAGACACACAGACAGGTCTCAACTAGGTGATACAGAATATCTCAGCTTAGAGGGAAAAAAAGTTAAAAAAATAAAAGAGCTCTGGGAGACTGACACAGAGTAAAATTGCCTCCACTTTCAATCTTCAATAGGTCTGAGATAAAATGGCATTGTGCTGAAAAAGCTGACACAAATGACCCATGCATACTCTGTGGGGAGAACAGAAAGTGTGTCCTGGATCTGTGGGATGCTGATGACACTACCCAAATTTTTTGGGGGATTCTGCAACATTTGTGGCTCACCGTCAGTGAAGCAGTCCAGGCCAAATGTGATGTTGTCGATAGCAATGTCAGCTTGGGAATTCCAACCCCAGGTTGCCAGGAGTTCCAGTTGAAACCTTTGCAATAAGGGAGACATTTTAGAGAACACCAACAAAGGACTAAGGAGAACAAAAAACAAAAAAAACTAAACAAAGCAAACGAACAACCTCCCTAAAAATACAATGTTCCCTTATCATGGGAAAAAGATCATCACTATTTACAATTTTTCCTCCGGACAAGTCCAGCTGAGCAGCCAAAAGGGCTTGCTATAAGTCTCAGACACATATCAACCCCTCGTAAGCACCACAATGTTCATACAATTTCACATTTCATGGGGAACAAGAATGAGAGCCCTACTCCCCCTCTAGCTGCACATACATCCAAGCAACTGTCCCCCACTAATTGTCATACACAAACAACCATTCATTTTCAATTACCAGAAATAGTCAGAGAATCAGTCTGGGGAAAAAAATATCTCCTTCTTTCCCCCGAAGGGATAGAGTAAAAACTGAACAGAATATCCTAATGTCTTGGGCCTGATCCTCAGCCAGTGTAACTCAGAAGGTGACATGAGTTTATTTCAGAAGGGTGGGACATTATAAATTTCAGCCATAATTCGTTGAGGAGTTACCTCCCTGGGCTGTCTCATCTCTTTCCACCATGACCAGGTGTTGCTTATCTAGGAGCTCTGTCACATCCCATGTGTATTGCTACCTTCTGAATTCACAAAGAAGTAAGAAAATGAGCTGAAGGATCTCCTTCTAATGGATAGGACTGAATTGTTTTTCATTACATTTCAGAAATAAGCAGATGTCTGATGTCCAGTCCATTTAGTGCTTATTAAAAGCATATGGACAGGACCTCTATTGCTGTCTCTGGTAAAGCTCAATGATGATTTCTGAGAGAGCAAGCACTGACCTGCCTAACACATTAATCATTCAGCCTAGAAACACACTTGTCCCAAATTAGTGGCAATAAAATATGTGTGTGCATTCCACCCACCAACCAAATGTTGGTTGATATCCACAGTTAGTTGCATAGCTGCATACAAATCTTTAGAGATAAACTGCTTTTACCCCAACTCAAGAATGACCCCTTGTGCTTAAATGAAAGCATCCACACCTTCAGGATCTAAGCACTCTGGGAGTAAGTCCAGCAAATGCAAGTCAAGGGTCTCTTGAATGACCTCTTAACTGTGGTGTTAGTGGGGGAATTTTTCTTTAGATCCCCTTCCTACAGAAACCCTCCTCTTCAATAGTAGGCTTAGCAAGAGCATTTTCAAACCTTGCATGTAAGTCCACTGACAAATGATAATAATCCCCCCATCTATCTGATGGAAGAGAGTCAGAGCACCCTGAGCCCAGAACCAGGGCACTTACAGGACCCACAGACACAGCACCACCTCCTACCCCTTCCTTAAGGCAATCACATGGCATTATACCCTTGGTCAGGTCAATCTGCTGGAGACAGAGCAGACAAGGGTCCCTGGCACTGGTAGGTTTCTGCTCCAGCTGAGTACAAGGGGGACCTTGAGGAATGACACCCCCCCCCCACCAGTGCATGAGAATTGACAGCCTCTAGGCTGTATATGCTTCCCTTTCCTCTTAACTTCAGAAAAGGGGGAGGAATTTGCCTTTTCACCTCAGTGCTGTGTTAGCCAGAGGGGTTTCCAGTGTTCCTGTTCATTGATCTCATTTTGCTGACTCCAACAAATTATGTTCACCAGCTCTCTGCTGTCTGGTCTTCTGCCTGTTTTCTCCTGATAGCATTATTTTTCCTTGTATGTGTGAACCAAATAAGTGAATTTGCCAGCCAATCACCAGAAGCAGTTTTTCAGAGTAACTAGATGCCCAGCTAGGAGGGTGATCAGCAACCTGTGTCTTCCTTCTCTCCTAAGAAATTAATTCATTGGGTGAAGGTCTTGCTAAGAACTACCTAAATAGAGCTTATGGCCCCATCAAGCAGTTCATGGCCTGCAGCTTCTTGTGTTTCAATTCATGTCTTCTCCCTCTGTAATCTGTCCCCTTCCTATCAATTTACTACTGCCTATCATCCCCTTAAGGAGCCAGGGGAAAGCACAGCCCCTTCCTATAGCAAGAGAAGGAGTTTCCTGAAGATTTGGGATACAGAAAAACAGCATCCTAGTTCAAAATCTGCACTAGAAATTACCCTAAGCACAGCATTGCTAGAGCTTGCATTACCAAGGAAAGCTGACAACACTCTTAAATAAACAGAATAGTCATTCATGAAGTTTTATACCAAACTGTAATGAAATTGTCCAGCAATGTTCATCACACACCTCAGTTTACAATTGTTTTCAACTTCACCAGCATTAAAGCAATTTAGGCTGAAGTTTCCTATTTTGAGTGATTTGGTATGGCTTTTCTAGTGGTTAAGACATTTTATGAGAGTCAAGGATGAGGCAATGCAGGGACTCATGATTCTGACCATGCTCAAAAATGCTGGTAACTTTATAAGCACTCAGTGCTACCAGGTATTGGAAGTGGGATCTGAAATTTGTGAGGAAAAGAGTCACATGGCAGACATGAGGTGTTTTTTTCATGTGAATGAGAATCAATTAAAATTTAAATAAAATATCTTTGAGATTTTTAAATCCCTGACATTTTCATGCCTGGTATTTTTTTTTTTTAATCCTGCAGTTATCCTTCCCTGGATATCTGAAAGTCCAAGGCAAAATGGTACTTTCCAGGCAGTGCTAATATGAACCGTGTCAGGTCCTGCTTCAGTTACATGTGGTGAGAACTGCCCTTCCAAATTAATGGATAAACATTTTCTTCCCCTGTCTTTCTTTCTGTTGCTGATTCTGACCAAACAGGAGGAAAAAAAAAAAAAAGCTGCCTAAACTGAATCCAGAGTGAAAAATGTGACATCCTGGAGAGAGGCTGGGAGCTCATGGGGAATTTTACTGTAGAGGGGCTTGGACTTGGTGTGCAGGGGGTTTGAGCCCAAGATCCACAGAGAGAATTAAATAGCCAGTAAAACAGGAATACTGGGAATAAACCTTTACTGTAGGTCTGAAATGAAAGCACACAAGAGATAACTAGGAGGAGAAGGGAAGTGCAGGAAAGGGATTCAGACTTAATAATAAAAAAAACCAAACCAAAACAACACACAGAGACAGCAGCTGCTGGAAGAGAGATGGAAACAAGAAGCAGGGAGGAGTTCAGAAAGGGAAGTTACAACCAGAGGCACGAGACAGATAAAATAGGTTCCCAGATGGCTGAAGCAAAAGAAAAAGAGACCAAGTGTATGAAAACAAGGAAGAAAAGCACCAAGTGCCCACAGAAGCAGGTAAGACAGGACAGAAGGAGTAGAGAATGGAAACAACAAGACATGAGGACTGGAATGGAGCCCATGTCCTAGAGCACAAAGACCAGGGCTTCCTCCCTTGGAGAAACAGCTGCAGCACCTTCTAGCAAAGTGCGTGATTGTTCTGTATCTGTTATAGATCAGTGTAGCCAATGGCAACTCTAGCACAGGTGGTACATATTTCCCTTCTAGACTGAGCAGTTCCATCCTCACCCACAGTGATTATCACTGTTGTGCCACTCAGTTTTAAATTAGAAAACGTTGTGCAAAAAGGTTACATGAAGTGAAACAAGATAGAAGAACTACTTGAATGAGACTGTAATAATAAACGCATGCATGACCTACCTACATCTTTCATTTTGCCTAAGTGCTCAACATTTTCAAACATTGCAGTATTTGAACATTTGAATATCAATTTTTTTCATCCCATTCTGACTGGTGCTCCTAAGAAGTGTCTTGCTGTCCATTCCCTTCTGCCACATAAGATCCATTTTGCTTCATAATTAAGGGCCAATACAGAAATTGGAGGCTTCAGGGAACAAGCATAAGGGACTGTATATCAGAGGAGATAGAAGGTCTTAAATATCTCTGAAGAGCCCCTTGGTCTCTGCTGCAGACAGGTCCACAGTAGAGCGCCCAGAGCAAAGAGCTATTCTGCACTAATTCACTGGCCATACTTTACATATGCATAACTAAACAGATGCTAATGCACAGGGCCTCAGATTGTGTCAGACAAGAATATTAAATACAGTGCTAGCAGGCAGACCAATCCTACCCTAAAGGAATCATTCATGGCAAAGGTGTGTACGGAGAGCACATGATAATACTGGGACCAAAGGTAATCAAGAAATTGAACTACAAAGAGGGTAGAGCAACATTCATAATATTCACTTAATAGACTCGGAGGGCTTTTTCCCTTGAGTTTCATGTGAAACGGGCCTTCCTCAGGAATATGAAAAAAAACAAACAAGCAAACAGATTGGAGAAATTGAAAAAAAAAAGTTTACGTTGTGCAAAATAACCAGCTACCAACACCAGCTACATGGCTTGAGACTGAGTGACAGTAGGTGAAGGAGGAGAAATGCCTGAATAAAATTTGATTGCACTGAAATTCTTTACATCTTCAATATTTCATTTCATTTGAAAGCCAACATTGTGCTGTATTTCCACATCTAAACCCATGAAAATTTAAGTGCATGGCTCATTTGGGCAACAGTCTTTTCTGAGAAAGCTTTTCTCCAGCTGCCCAGGCTGCACGGATACAGATCCCAAACTGGACAGCTGTGTTGACAGTTGTTGTGGGATTACCACCCCTTTGACTCACGCGAGTGTTTTTTACTGTGGGAGCACAAAGTGCAGCTCTGCTAATGCACCTGTTTCCCTGCTGGGAGCACTTTGCCCCTGTGAGTACACTGGCTTGCTCAGATTGCTGAAAGGTTTTTCGTACAGCTTGCTGTTCCCAAAACCTAAGCACTGTTTGAGGCTGCATAGAAGCACAGTCACATGCTGTGGGCTTGTGTTGAGCTAAGCTGTGCATGTGCACAAAGGTATGCACTTATGACAGAATACTTCCTGAGCAAGCAGATTCGCTTTAAAACAGCCCTGAAAGAAGGCAGGAATGAAAGTGACACTTCACAATAAAGATAGTAACAATTTACTAAATCTATAGGAACAACCCTGGCTGCTGACAGTGGAGCTCTTACCGGTTCTGAAGCACTGGCATTGGTAAGGTGATGAGAAACCAGTGGTCACTCCAGCTCCCGGCCCTTTCCCACATTGGCAAGGTGATTGGAGCTCCCTTTGTCTCTTCCCTGAGAGAGAAGGAGACTGTACCATTGTAGCTACCAAAAACACGCACTGAAAATTGAATCTGTAACAGAGGAAGAAGAGGAAAAGAATGGTAATCTGTGACAAAAGGGAAAGGTAGTCACTTCTCCCCTCCCTGGGAATTTGAGACACCAAACCTTCGAGTCTGGGTCAAACTCTGATGACAGAAATCACTAAACCCCCACTCACTGATTGTATTTGACTCATCACCTTTACTAGCACAGAATTTTCTCAAGGAAGACCCAAACTGACCCTCCTGTTGGGCAGCTGTTCTTCAATCACTAATGACAACATCCACAGGCTCTGACAGGAGGTTTCCTTATTATTGCCTCCTCTGAGGAGAGAGCTGTCCTGGCCCAAATACCTTTGAAACAAGGACTGTCTCTAAAGGCAGGAAACCTCAGTCCATCTACCTGCTCCGACTCATAGGCACCACCTGAATTGTAGCACCCCTAAGACAAGTGAACAACAAAATCATCAGGCCAAAGGATGTTTTGAAGCAGGACTTGTTCCTCTTTCTTTGGAGTAACCACTTCCAGCTTGCCACAGAGCAAGAGAAAGTTGCCATTTCTACCACTGCTTTGAGTAATAAGCTGCCCTTTATGTTACAGCAGACTCCAGTACCAGCAGGAAAGGCAGCACACATGTGCTCTGCAAAGAACAACCACAGAAGTTCCTTAATCCTGCAATGTAGCCTCAAACCCTTGCCAGTGGAGGAGAGAATGAATCCAGATTTCCCGTGGCCTCTACACAATAAACAACAGCTATTGCTTCTCCTCTCCTGCTTTTGTGGACCAACCTTAAATCACATTTTATTTTGTTGTTTATTTTGTACCCAGTAAATTTTACCTGGATTTATAAATAAATAAAGATGCCAAAGTTACATTTCTGGCACCTGCACCATATTTATTTTCCCAGCTCTAATTAGGAAGCATCAAAGCTTTCTTTTTTCCCCTAGCAAGACTGGACTCCAGCTCAAACTTGCAGCTTAATTTTCCTAAGTGTTATGACTCTAATATTACTTAATATATTTAATTCCAGCATCTCAGAGCTGCAAGGCAAGTTGTGTGATTTTATCAAGGCCATTAACCTTTTGAAATTCCTGAAGAATGTGATCAGAAGTTTATTATGTTCATCTATTTCTGGAAAATCTAATGCCTTCTAACTTCACACTCCTGTTCTCAGTGAAACTATCAAGTTTATTAACTCCTGCACAAGTAGTGCAGAATTTATGAAGAAAAGTCTCAACAGCAGATATACTAAAAGACTCAATGGCCCAGCCAGCCAGCTCCCTTTTCTGCAATCCCTGTCTGCCCCATACAATTTAGCTGTTGGTCACCTCCCAGAGGAGTATCTCGTCCTAACTGGTACAGTTGGGCTGGTGAGGTTTCCACAGTGAGTGTCTGATTTGGGGCTTCTGCTTTCACTTCCTGGGGATGCTCCTCACATTTCCTCACGTTTCCTTTCCAGTTCTGGACGAGTGGGCAGCTGGGCAGTACAGCCAGCTCCTCTGCTTTCCAGTGTTGTGTAGAGTGTGCAGGGAACAGGAGAACTGGCTAATTGTGGAAATAGTGCCTACAGCCTGATGATTTGCTCCACAAAGGTGCTAAGACAGAGTGACACACCTGGTAGTCTTCGGTGGCAAGACTGGCTGGCAAGCTGGTGCTGTAAGCCTTAGCCATAGCACTTGTCTGAGCACTCTCTGCTCGCAGGTAGAGAAAGTGTCCTGGAAACACAAAAGTGAATCAGAAAAGACAGAGTGGTCTTCTGCTCTTCTGTGTGATCTCTTGCAATAATTTAGCATCATTAATGTTACTGTAGGCAAGTAAGTATGGGTAGGTGTAAGCAGGGCTGGAGTGCAAATCTATTGGTGAGGTTATAGTAAACACTATAGTAAACTCTGGTAGAGTTCAGCAGCACAAAAGCCAACATCCCAAACCCTTTCCTGGAATGTGAGTGGATAAACCTCAGACACCACTGAAGATCTTCCCATACAGAAGCACACACCACTCTACACTCCTAATTCCTACACCATTAGCATCAATAACTCTTGCTGAGACAAACACTGGGCTGGAAGGGTTTATTTACAGTCTTTGTTTCCAGGGAGAGCTTACACAAGCTCTCAGGAGACAAACAGGACACTTGGACAGAAACCCTTCATTTTGGCAGGGAACTGTGAGGCATGACTCCTGTGTGCTAAGACTTCTGACTTTCAGCCTGAACAGGTGAGGGTCTGGCCTCCCCCCTTTCTTATTTAGTAAGTTGACAGTCTGCAGTTCTGGGAATTATTTTATTCTTTTTTTATCGTGATATTTTATGGCACAGAATGTCTATGGTCACTTGGGATATTCTCATATGTGATGTTCTTCCTAACCCACCAGTGGAGTCTGTCAAGGGTCTTCAAAAGATTTATTTTCACAAGCTGCCTAATTCTGTTGGGCAATTTTTACCTAGTGATGCAGCAGTTATGTTGCTGCTGAAGTACTCTGCAACTCCATCCTCATAAGAGGAAGGAGCAGGGAAGAAGTATACATCATATGACTTCTTAAACATGAAGGAGAACCCTCATCTCTGAGAGTTTTGTGTCAACTTTTTTGCAGAACTTGTTTAATATAAAGTTTGGAGGCATGTTCAAAAGGTAATCTTAGGTACATTTGAAGTTGTTATAGAGAACAGTTATATCTGTATATATAGATATCAGTTATATACTGATGTTGAAGTTCATTTGGCAAGGATGCCAAAAATCCTTAACCAATTTAAATAAACTTAAGTTCAAGGCTATTGTGTACATGCACACACAGAGAGTGGGAGAGAGAACAATGGAAAACCTACCACCAGTGGCTTGCAAAGTAGACCCTATAAATGAGTCCTCTTGAATCATTCCAGAAAAGCCCCGAATAGACCAAGGAGATGCTGCAGTTTCATTCAGTGTCCAGCCACACAGTCCTTCTTCAAAAGAGCAGTGTGAACCCTCTGGGAGGCTGTCTACAATACAGAACAAGAAGAAGTAGGAAAATTGGAGCAACTTGATTATGGAAGAACACGAACAATAACAAAAGTGAAAATCCATTGTGGTTGTCCATGTTACCCAACCTATGCTACACTGTCAAAATAGGTCTCATTTGTTTATTTCCAGAGTTACCATTCAGTCAGAAAGCAAACACTTTGCTTCTGGAAATATTTGAGACTTTTTTTGTGCTGTCCTACTCTAAATACTGGGCAAAACTGCAGCTCCCATAATCTCAGGAATGGCAAATCACTGCCACCTATTTGTAAAGGTCTTGCTACATATGAAATTGCAGACATCACAAAGTTTTGTGTCCACTTTAAGGAAGGTAAATCAACAGATCATTTTAAAGCCCCAGCACTGTACTTGGAACAAAGCTAAACATTGTTTCTCAGTACCACACATATTGTTAGGGGATTTATCTGTCCTGATGTGCAAGACCTCTGAACTGGGATCTTGGAAGGGCAGATTTATGACACTGTAGGTAACTAAGAGTGGAAAGATGATGAACACCTTTCCCTGAAGGGAAGGTTTAAATCTCGGGTTCAGAAGGAAATTCTCACCCAGCTGCAGACATGTAAATAAGGTTTTGCCTTTCTCTGAAGTAGCAGTAACTGTGAAAGGAAGGTCACTGAGCTCTTTACTGCAATACTTAAGAAACCAAACCAATTTTAAAAAAATCCATTTTATTCTATATAGGGTGAATTTTCAAAGAGAATCTTGATATCCAGTTAAAGTAAATGGGCCAAATTAATTCAGGAGGTAAAATACTGAATTAATCTAAAGATGGAATAAATTAAACTCATTTTTTTATTCTAAATTACTTCTTCTAACAGAATGAAGGTTCCCACAAAGTGTCATACCACATACTCACCACACCTCACTCCTTCCTCTTCTTTGGTAGGGCAATCACTGAGGAACTCACAGATCTGTAGGTGGCTGACACAGCCTCCATGAATGCAGGGGAAGGTTGAGCCCTTGTCATATATAAAAAGATCTTGATTTTCTTTATCTAATGGGGAAAAGAAAAAAGAGAACTAAATCCAGAGATAAGATGACAGAATGTGTACGACCCTTGATGAGTATTAGTTTTCACATGTAGGACCTTGTCCTTTGTACAATAAATCTCTGCTTTTTTCATGTAGGTTTCTATCCAGCATGAGACGCCTGCACCAAATTTATTCTCTTTTCTTTCTCATGTGCTGCTTTTGCTGTGTTTGTGCTATCTTTAGATAATTTTGTGGGTTTTTTTAATGAAGGGCCTTGAAGTTTCCTACGGTGATGTGCTCCTCAGTTCTGCACACACAACTGTGCAGCTGCCAGGCAGCTGTGACATGCTGCTGGCACCCTGCTGCTGGAGGCAGGGATACCCACCTATCTCCAGCTCTGATAGACACATTGCTATGCCCTGTTGGGGCTCAAGATGAACCAGCACTTGGGCTGCTGACTCATTTCTGTGCCAGCTTCCAGCTGTGGCATCCAGCCCATGGGGAAACTGTTTGCCTCTACACGAATTTTATTCATGCACCCTAACTAGTCCAGTCAGTTCTAGTCTGGGAGCCTTTGACTGACTGCACAGTCACCCATCAGCCAGGCTGAACATGATGTTTAGGTCTGATATTTCCCAAAAGCATGACTCTTAATGCACCCAGCCTGTCCTGTGGATGCATATGTGCCCAGGCCTGTAATGGACCTGCTGCCCTTTAGCAGAGCTCTGTGCAGAAGTTCTTCTGGGATTGTTACCACTCTGGAAAAAATGCATAAGTTAGGGAACCAATTGCAGGAGAAAGAGAAAAAAAACACTTCTCCAGCTGTCCAGGTAGACACTCTGAAATAGTATTTTTTCATGACACTGTTTTGTGCCAGATACATGCACCAGGTTATTTAGAGACTGAGAGCACAGTGCTTCAGGGTGTATGCATCCCATCAAAACTCTAGGACTGTCAAAAAAAAGATTACATTAAAAATATAGTATGTTGTATTAAAAGAATAATGACTACAATTAAATCTCTAATATGAGCAAACCATGCTCACAATAGTGTTTTCTTTTCACATTACAATCCAAGCTATTTCTACAGAGTCTGCAAAATGGAAACAATAACATTATATTAATTAATGAAATTCAGGAACTGAAGATGATTATGTCCCCAACCTGAAGACTGCCTGTGCTGACAGACTCCTGCACTTCCAAGAAGCCTAAATGACATTAGCAAGGTTCTGCACTGCCACCGAGGATCATTTACATGACATTCAGAACAGAACTGTAAGCTCCAGGTAAAACTGAGGTCTTAGCTGAGCACTCGGTACTTTAGAGAAAAAAAAATACCTTCGGATTATTTTCATTTTAGATAGAAATTCTCAGCCTGGCAGTAGCAAACAGACCCCATTGGGGGCAGATAAATGTTTCTTTTCTTCACAGATTTGTTAGATAAAACCCAAGTATGGAAAAGGCTTTGGTTACACAAGGTGGACTGTTGTTCTTGATTATTTAAGAGAGAAAAATACTAAAAGCTAAAATAATCTAGGTAAAGACATTTTTCATCTTTGTTGTTGGATTCAGCATAAGTCCAGTTGTTTTGGGCTTTTTTCCCACACAAAGATCAAGCAAAGCAAAGCTGAAAAACAGAGAGGATCACTTAAATTAGTTCTATAATTATGAGTTACTCATCTTTCTTCTAAATCCTGTCCCTCATCATCCTCATCCATTTTGCTGAGGACGCATTTGGTTATTCCAAACCTGTCTGTGTTGCAGCATACCATGAAAGCAGTTCCTGAGGTGCAAGGAGCCCAGTGCCAGTACTCCAGCCTCCTGTGCTCCACAGTCTGAATACACCAGGGTGACTTTGAATGGTCTTTCTATTCGTCCAACCTGGGCCACCAGGTATTTCCATTTCATCCTAGAGGACAACAGAATGTTATCAGACATACACACAGCACATTGGAATCCATGGGGTCTCTAGCATAAAGATTCTGCACCATACCAAAGAGAAGTAATAGTATCAATGTGGGAAATGGGCCAATGAATGCAAAATAGCAAGGTACAAATGGGTGTTAATATGAAACAAGTGATGTCCAGCCTAGCAAGCTCATATAAGGTTATCTTTGCTGCAGAGCCTATTGCAAATGATGAAGAGATCCAATGATTCCCAGTGATTCCTAAATGGGTCTTAAATTATCGCCAGTTTTGGACACGCTATCCCAATATATGCTTTCCACATACATGGAAAATGTGTATTTGCTCTTGAAAGATCAACCAAGCAGCTGCACAAGTCTCTGGAGCTCCTCAAGCCAACACTGACATTGTGTGTTCTGGAAGTAAATGTCTGACCCTGAATGTTTCTTGGTTGTGACAAGAATGAAAACCTTCATTTGTGTGTTGTCTATCTGATTTTCCACCTTACAGTGCACCTGTACAGTGTACCCACAAAGCAAGGGAAAGAAGAGAAGTGCTGTTCCAGGAAATGCAGATTACTTGTGCCATTTACATTTCTCTACAGAGTAAGTGCCATAACCTGCAAATCTTGATTGCAAAAGTTTCTTAATTGTGCAGCATTTGTGGTGGTTTGGAGAAAGACAAAGGACCCCATGAACCCTAATTTTAAAGATGATTGTCAGACATAAAAAGCTAGAGAGAGGACACCAAAAGGGAATTTTTGAAGTACCTCACTCAAATTGAGCCTGATGGAAGTCAAGGTATTCTGGTGTCATTAAAAAACTATGGCAGAATTCTTAAAAATATTTTTACTTTGTTTTTGTTTCCAAAACCTGTTCGTATATCTTATGTTAACAAGACAGCAAAATACAGTTAAATATATGTGCTATTATTTTGTAAATGGATTGGAGCAAGGCTAGTGAGAAAGGAATCCTTGCTCTAAGCTCTTTCCTGAAAATAGTATCAGACAGAGATAATTTTACCCATATTCTATACACTGCTGATGTTACTGGGGCCACTCTGGACAAGTGACCTAAGTCAGTGCCAATGGAGTGATAAGAAGGCAAGGCCGCAGTGTTAAGACATGTTGATCAGCTCTGCTCCTAGTATCACTTTTGCATTTAGGAGAAGCCTTCAGCTGCCATGAAGTGGTCACATAGCCCTTGTCCTGCACCAGTAACACCTTAGAAGGCAACACCCAGATTACAAACACATCTCTTCTGGACTCAGTATAAAAAGCACAGAACTGTATTTGCACCTTACAAAAAAATCCGAAGCAACTTTAATTTCTTTATCAACCTCTTAATTTCTTTATCAGCCTCTCTTGCATTCTTCCCTCCACAAAGCAATTATATTACTTTGTCTGCATAATATTTTTACTATCCCTTCTATGGCATCCACCCACCTTTTACTTTCACAATTGTGCACGTGCATAAATACCCACAGATACCCTGAACTCATATGAAACTGAGCTCCTCTTACAAAGGTGACCCTATTTCCTGTCCCATTATAATATATTCAATAGTTTATTATAATTTAATCAATCTTCAGAAAGATACAGCCCTGAATTACAACAGCACCATCTCTGCTTCCCAGCATGGGAGAACAACTGCTTTGCTTTCATTATGTATTACAGTGCAGCTTCAGGAACATCCAGCACTTATAAATATATCTCATAAATATTCTTACAAATATATCCCCCCCCACCACACTGTGGGACAACATCCAAGACCATCCAGCACTGACACACAACTGAGTCCCTTCTGCTACATGACACAGCTTTGTTCATCACTCCATTGCATCCTGTTGACCACAAGAATGAATGGGCCATAACCAAATTGGTTCAATGAGCCAATAAGGGTAAGGGCAATCATTAAATCTTTTGAATTTAGCTATTAGGCATACTAGACCTGTCAAGCACTGAGGCTTAGTTCTAGTACCTCTACCAAGTTACAACCCACCCTGCAGCTGAGACATCACAGTACTGCCTGTGTACATCTAGCAGTAGCAACTAAAGAGCCCCACAGCTGAAAACAATGACAGTTCCTCTGCTGCACCTTAATCCTATATGCTTTATGAGCCAGATACTTTGGAACTTGCTGTTTATAGGCTGTATATCAAAATATAACTACTAGTCATCTACATGAATAAACCAAGCTCTGAAATGCCATGACTTAGGAAGACACACTGTCCATTCTGCCACCTCTGCTGGGAGAGCTGTGGTATCTGGCAGAAGAACAAGGCCACCATCTTAAGCCACTACTTCTGTCAGTTGGCAGATCACCTGAGTCAGAGCACTAAGGTCCCGTGAAACATCACAGTTCTGCACTGAAATATCTCTGGTACTGAAATTTTCTGCATTTATAACTCCTCAAAAAAAGCTGTCTAGCATCCAAAGACTGCAAAAATGACAAGCGGTTTTGCATCACATAGAGTGCTTTTGTGTATGAAATCTCTTCATCATCAAGGTATTCCCCTCAGAGAAAGCCTCACCCCCTAGATCCAGCTGCAGCAGGACTTCTAATGCTGTAAATAATCACACCTCCTTTGCTCGGTGTCACCGCTGAAACGGAAGCTAGTCAGAGCCAATGTAATTTCCTTAATGGAATCAGGAACCAAGCCCATTGTTGATCCAGCAGAAGATGGATCATTGCAGCATACTTCCAGATAAGCCAAGCTTGGCAATAACTTTACTATTGATTTAATGTCAAACCAGATCTCAAGTATTGAGGCAATATTGCTCTTCTTCTAAAAAGAGATGTTAAAATTCATCTGTATGCATGGAAGAACTGTCAGGGTCTGGCATAATTTTGAGAAATTTGCATGGATAGAAAGTTTGGAGTTGCAAGCTATCTAATGCTTAAGGCAAGGGAATTCAAGATTCACCCTGAAAACTTTTAATTCCAAATTTACTTTTGCAGTGTTCACTTTGAGTTTTCATTAGCCTCTCAATCTTCTCTGCTGAGCAGATGTTTTCCACCCTCTTCTTACCAATCCTTTCTATGATGTGATTTTTCATATCCAACAAATGTAATTGATGATTATGTTTAGGAAAGATTTTATGTAAAGAATAACCATTTCTTCATTAGAACTGAAAAATGCAATAAAGCAGAACATGAAAGCTGAAACATTTTCTAAATTAGGGGGACCCACTATATTGTTTTTTTGCTCAAAGCTGTGTACACTAGATGCTTCTAGACTCAATCAGTGAACATAAAAATTAGAAGTTTTGCATTACTTTTATACACACAGGAATTTTTGTCTGCAAGTCCTCACAAACATCCAGTGCTAGCCACTGGGCTTAAATGGAAATAGAGAGAGCAAAATACTTACCTACCACTCCTGCCTTCACCCAGCTCTTAGAGGGTTATTCTCTGATACAGTATATTTTTGGGTGCAAGTTCAAGATGGGTGCAAGAGGCACTAACCGAATCATACTCCCACCTTAGTGCTCAAAGTTGATACTCTTATATAGCAGCTGGACAGCCTTACCCTTTCTAGATACATTTTTTAATCAAAATGGCTCTGCTCATTGTTGTCAGCACACATGTAGACATTATCTGAGAACACTTACCAGGCCTTGTCATCTGTACAGTAGGAGAAGTTAAATAACTTTCATGGATAAAACCAACCACATTAATAGAATAGAAGTGTCAAAGATGGTAAGTTTTTTCAAGTGTCTCAGAAGATGGTGGAGCATTTTATCACCACCACCCCTCAAAAAAAAACCCCAAAAAGCCTGAGGAAGACACAAAAAACTAAGCAATTAACAGTTTTGTGAGGTTGGCTAACTGAAAACCCATGTGTGCACATGGCCATGAACTTTTTGTTTTCTGGTCTACCAAGACTGCCATGGCTATTCCAGAATGAAAACAGAAAAAAATCAGCCAGGCTTATTGACTACAGAAAGTGAAAATATTATCCCTGCCTCAAATGATGCTTTTTTATTTTCAATGAAGTGTGAGTAGAGTTGAAAGAAACTAGCTTCTTACTGAAACAGTTTTGGCTGAGAACACTGAAATAACTGTGGTCCACAACAAACACTAGCATGAGAAAACACTCAAAACCGCACAGGACTCAAGAATTTTCAACTGTGGCTGATTCTGGGTCTGTGTGGTAGAGAGTAAAAGGTGGGATAAGCAAAATAGTAAAAACATTTAAGAAAAAAAAAAGTTTAAAAAAAAAGTGAAAAATATATTAGATGTGACCTGAATAAGCACCATAACCATAACACTGAGAAAGTAAAAACAGTTTTCTGAGTTAAGTGCCAGACAAAGAAGGCTTGGCGTTGCAAGCAAGGCTACAGGCTCCTGATGTTTGAGCTTTACTGACATAATGAGAAATAAAATTTAATATATTTTTTGTTAGTACATAGAATTTCAAACACCTCACTCCCTCAGCAGTTCTCCTTCTAATAGATAACTCAGAATACCCATGATCTACAGGCAGTATTTAAAAATAAGCATTGTGACTTTGTGACTTTTCCCTACTTGTTCAGAGAACATGGTACCAAAAGTCCATCTGTTTCTTTTTTCTTTTGTAAAGGCTTATGTATGAAGAAGTAGTGGCAACTTCAGTACTACCAATTTAACGGTAAGTACTACTGGTTAGTGAGGCGAACAAGACAGAAATTTTCTCTTACATGTAACATATATCTAAGGTTCTGGGAACTGTGTAGCTGATGGATCCTGAAGGAGAAAACACCATCAGGAGAATATTTCTAGGTCCAGAAAGAGGAGAGTTCACTGAAGTAGTCTGGTGCAGCTGGCGTTTATGATGAAGTATAGCTTGGTCATGGAATTGAGAGGTGACAAAAGGGACTGTAAGCAGGGTTTCCTGGAGTGTCTGATTATCTGAAATAAGTGCCACCTAGCCTTTTTTCTATGTCCAAGTCCCTACTCTGATCTGAAGACAATCCCTTGGTACTAATTTTCACTGGTTACACTAGGTACTACACATAGGCATCTATCTTAAGGCCATCTGCTCATTGTCCTTGCTCAGCCCTAAATTGTGCAGCAGTGTTTGGTTAAGAAAGAAAAGCTTGCAGAACTCCTACTCCCTGTGGAACCCTGGAACATTTCAGGGTGGTCTCCCCTTAACAAACAATGTTGTGAAAATCTTAATCATGGAGAGAAAGCTCATTTCAGGCTACTTGCCTAGCAAGGAGCAGGTCAATCTCTGTGTTAGAAATAAATTCTGTTCTGCATGCATGGTCAGAATTTTTTTAATTGTACGGAGATTTTAAAGTTTCCTTGTAATGAGGGGGAAAAGGAAGGGTATGTGATGGTTCCAAACTGTGTCTTTTCTATCCTCCTTTCTATCTTGATTTCAAACAGGACTTGGTCTCCTCCACTGTTTAAAATCTAAAGAGTTAACTCTCTAAGCTTACCACTGCTCCATTTCATTCTGTAAGAAAAAGTAACACCCGTGCCTGTGCCAACTTCCAATAAAGCTAGCTTCATTCTAATAAATCTAAATGCCATCAGTTTTAGAAAGATGATAATCTTGACTTCACATAGAATTGTTTTGCAGTGCTCAAATAAGCTGCTAAACAACATCTATGATCCATTCCAGAAACGCTGCAGTGATTACCAGCAAAGCCTGGTCTGACCAGTAAGGTGTAGCAAAAGGGTATTTTATGAGTTTACATAGCAGAATGGAGCTGCAGCTGCAGAGGCCTGACAAATATTCAAAAAGCAGCAAGGGCAGCTTTGAGCAGGCAAAAAAGGATATTAGAAATTAATCCCAGAAAATGCTACAGATTCCCAGTGAAATTGGCAAGAAGATGGGGAAGGAATAGTCAGGAAGGAACTGAGCAACAGCTGAAAATGAGAGAGAAAGAGAGATCTGAAAGGGAAAAAAAAAAAAAGTTTTTTTAGTCAAACTCTGCTATCTTTGGCTGATGGGGACTCTTCACTACAGATCTCCATGGCAGCCTAGAGAGTGCCAAAGAATTCAAAGAAAACAAGAACTGGGATCTATTGCTTAAGTTCTCCCTGGGAGTCAGTCAGGTGATGGAAATAAAAAACTGTTATGTGTCTGACCCAGGTTCTTACAAGTTGGACTGCAGCAAAGGAAAAACAAGTACATGGAAAATGGCAAAATCAGACAACATGTGGACTTTTCTCTTTCTTTTCCTGTTGTGGTTTGTTCCCTTTACCCATTTCTCTTCCTTAACTGCATTCTGCTACACACAGGAATGAAAAAGTAAAACGTTGGCAGGATCAAAGGGAGTACAGATTGTCCTGTTGTTAAAAGAAGACTGTTACATCTTCTTTTGTTCTTCTTCACCTCTTCTTACCTCAGTTTTTTCCCTCCCTGAACTCTACAAATGGAGCAGAAGTGGGTGTTCCTCAACCTACTAGAAAGGAGGAAATTATTAAAGAGGTAAAATTAACCCCACCTCAAATGGGGTTATTATTAACGCATTCTCAAAATGAGAACTGTGACCCTAGGAGCATTGACAGGACCCACTGAATCCATAGAGATTTCAGTCATGTTAGCAAGGCAGTTTTTGGACTGAATGCATTTTACAGCTGCAGTCCTAGAATCAGTGAAAAAATTAATCACTCTTCACCCTTCTAAACATGAGGGAGGAAGAGTGAGATCTAAGCCAGTGTGTTCTTTGCAAGGAGGACACACAAAACCTGTCTGTTACAGGCATCCTGTCAAGGGGCTCTGTGCTTCAGTCCTGAGAGTCACACCTTCATTTTCAGCTGTAATAGCAGCAATGATCCCAAGAAGGCATAAGACACTGATAAACAGCAGCCTGAAGGAACTCCACTCTACCTTGCAATTCAAAGACTTAACAGTTGAAAATTGATTGTCTTACCTGGAATTCTCCTCATGGCCAGCTCTCAGAGAAGTTATTGTATTTTTGTCTGTCTCCACGTATTTAATTTCAACTGTGAATCTCTGGAGGAGAGGAACAGCATCCTGTGAACATATGGCCAGTTCCAGAAAGCAAGAATCCAAGCTCCCAGGTAGGATGGGGCTTTGCAGGCTGAACTCACATCTATCTGGGAATCTACTGGTGCTCAGGAGGAAAATGTCCCCTGTGAAGAGAAAAAAAACCACAACAAAACAAGAGACACACGGCACAGATGGAAGAGAGATAATAAGAGGAAAATGGATAAGGAGTTCAAAGCAAGGAGTCATGAGAATAAAGGAAGAACTATGCACAAAATCAAAAAAAAAAAAAAAAGAAAAAGAAAAAGAAAAAAGGAGAGAGAGAATAAAGTAAAATATAAGGGTTTAAGTAAAGAAGTTATAGAAGAAACAAGAAGAGAAGAAACCAAAAAAAACATGAAGACATGTCCAACAAAACAAAAGCCAAAGACTTTGCCAGTCAGACAGCAGACAAGTGGAGCCAGCTCTGGCTTGTATAGGATTGAGATTCCTAAGAAAAATCCAGTCTCTGTAAGTAAAAGTAGCTTATCGCAAATTGGGGAGATAGAAAATGAGTATATAAGGGGGCCGGCTGTTTAGAGGGTACATCCATAGACAACCAAGGCAGCTCACATGAATTACATGGTTCCTACTGGCTCTTGGGCACTGGCTGTGCCTTTGAGAGTTCTGCACCAGAGCCAGCACATGGTGGAACTTTCAGTGACAAGGGCCTGAGGCTGACTCCTGCTGCAGCCGGAGCTGGGCAAAAGCAGGCGTCCATTCGAGGGCAACCGGAGCTCTGCCTACCTTCAACATCTTTGCAGGAAGAACTGTTTTCCAGAAGCATCTGCTGCCTCTCCTGGGCTGCCAGGACGCCAATGGAAGATAACACCCAGTCTGGTTTCCCAAAAGCGTCTGTGGATGTCACCCATGAACAGCTTGAGCCGACGACACAGGAGACTTCTGTTGTGAGAAACCAAAGGTTTTGGTGAGGCCTGTCCCAGCTCCAGTGGCACATAAGTGACCAAATGCACAGTGTATGGGGGCTGTATCTCCCAAGAAATGGAAGACTCAAAGAGAAAATAAAAACTTTATCTTGGGCAATAACAACAGAATCTCTCCCAGAGCAGGTCAAGAAACATGTAAGAGTGAAAAACTAACCTGCAAAATCTTGGCAGAATGTAAGTCAAATTCCTCCCACAGGTATCAACAATGATTTTATGCCATTGGAAGGTCTAGACCACAAGTACTCAAAGTCCCAAATGAGAATACCAATAATATCAACAAGGATATTGAAACTGTACGGATTTAGCATTTTTGACAGAAAGAACTGATACTCTAAGGGAAAATGTCTCTTAGCAATAGAAAGATCTTGACAGGGTCTCAAGCAAAATAGGTGAGCAATGCAAGATTTACTTCATTTTTATTTTTATCTTTTTTAAACAGTTTTGCTTTCCTCTAGCAGGATGGATAAGAATGCCTTCTTAACAAACTCCAGAGTCTGCTTGCAGTATTAAAAACACTAGATCATCTTGGCCAGAATTTTTCATAATCAGCATATTATAAACCAGACAAGAAGTAATTCACTGTTCTCTCATCAATCTAATATAAACTCCCTGAAGGGATGTTAGCTGCACAAAAGTCTCCCACACAGAGTAGAGCTGAATAGAGCTGATATTAATTTGCATGATATTTATTTTCAGTAGTAATAATAATATTACAGTAATAACTGGAGTGTCCCGAGGCCAAGTAAGAAATATTAAGAGACTAAACATTCGTATTTAGGATCCTGATGTTCAGAGGGTATTCAAACCTTGCAGACATGAATGACACGAAGTTATCCCTTTGGTATCCCTATTCCTGTGGAGAACAGGCGGGAAGGAGAGAACTAAGGTCAGAGATATAACAAGGAAATGTGGCTGCACAAGTGGGCAAAAATAAAAAAACTTAAGAGCCTCCAGAAGATTACCTAAACTTTCAACTAAGCTTTCAGAAAAAGAAGAAATTGAAGCATCTTTTGAGCACAACAGCAAAAGCAGACAAATTTTCTTCTTAGTGAAGTTAATGCTAGCTTCATTTTTATAAAACAGCATCCATTGAGCAGAGGTAAGAGAAGCACAGATGTTACAGAGCTGCACATAACTTTGGGTTGGCACAGGATGTGGTCTCCCACCCAAACACTTCTCTTCCATTCATTTGGACACTCCCCAGCTCTTTCTGGCCTGCACGTACTGGAGCTTGCTGCCTCTCTCAAACTGACACCTGGGCCAACCATCCAAATTTCTTCTTAGCCCAATTCACCAAATGAATACAGCTTAGGAAAGACCTGGGCAGTGTTCAGTCCATCATTTTTACATGGAAGCCACAAGCAGACAAACTGGCAAATTGTGTACATGTGTGTGTACACAATGCCAGACTCAGCAGCACACAGGAATGAGGACATCAGCCACTCTCCTGGCTCTCTTGGATCTAGGGAAAAATGTATGTGCACAGCTCCAGGCTATGGTTTGATGATCCAGTAAAACAACTTTAGGGATCTCAATTGCTCAGGAACCCCATAGCTGTGAGACAAAGCAGAGTCCTGATCCAGACCTGCTGTGCTGTTTCAATTTTACTGAGGTTTGACAGGTTAACTCAGTATCCACAGACTTATTGTCAGTAGAAGTAATATTTTTATCAGATAATTTTTCAGTTGGTTGTAAAACACAGAAAGCAATTTCTCTCAAAACAGCATAACAGTGAAAGAGACCAAAGGGAAAGCTCAGGAGAGAAAAAATTCCATTTTCAACTAGACAGTTGCATGAAACTGTTGTTTATGACGAAATCATTTCATAAAACATTACTAATACCTCAGCTGTATCAATACAGACAATCCTTTGAGTACGTCTCACATGACAGGGCGGCTCACAGCTGAGATAGGTGAACACAATTTTTCCCTTGAAAAGCACCTAATTCCCAGTTCTCTGAGCTTTATAAGGCCTGTCTGACACGGCCTGAGGGAGAAGAAATTTGAATACCTGGAAGAGTCTGGAACAGATCAGGAAAGCTTTTGACAGTAAATCAAGAAGATTTCTGAAGAGAAAGAAGAAGATCACATGCATCACACCGTGATGGAAAGACTGGTCAAAAATAAGCAGGTTTTAGCACAAACCACAGAGTAAAAGAGCTGGGTACACTCGTGGTCACAGTGAAAGAGAACACTGAAAGGTGAAACCTCTAGTGCCACTATGTAACATCTCACACGTGTTCCATATCCAGCTTTGCTTAAGAACTTCGAGAACCTCAAGTTTAAGTCAGCAAAAAAGGAAAAACATGACAAATTAAAATAAAAAAAGGTATAATAGAGAAACAGATCTGTATTACTACAATTAGCAAAGGACACATATTAAGATATTACAAAAATGCTCCAAAGAAGATTGGATTTAAAAATGCTCATGGATAGTCCAGGGTATGTCAGAAAGGACTGTAAAGAATTTAGATACCATCTGGAAGATGCTACTATAAGGAATATTCCTCTGGCAAGGCTATTGTTACACCTGGAAGGAATGTGTGACTTTTCTAACACCCAGATACCTTTTTTCATTGTTTAACATCTTCATTAACAACCTGAGCAAGGAGACAGAGTGCACCCTCAGCAAGTTCCCACAGGTCACAAAAGGGAGGAGCGGCTGACACACCCCAGGGCTGTGCTGCCATGCAGAGCAGCCTCGACAGGCTGGGATTGGGCTGACAGGGAGCCCTTGAAGGAAAAGCCAGGTCCTGCATCTCGAGGGGTATAACCCCCTGCACCAGCACCTGCTGGCTGGCTGGAAAGCAGCCCAGGAGAAGGAGCAAGGTGAACAAACAGCTCTCTGTCAGCAAGCAGTGCACCCTTACTACAAAGGCAGCCAGCAGCTTTCTGGGCAGCATTAGGAAGGGCTTTGCCAGTAGATGAGGAGAGGTGATCCTTCCTCTCTACTCAGCACTGGTGAGACCACAGCTGGCGTACTGTGCTCAGCTCTGGGCTCCCTAATGCAAGAGATGTACGGACCTAGAGGAACCAGCCCAGCACAGGTCCACAAAGATGACAGGGACTGGAGCATCTTCCATCAGAGGAGAGGCTGGCACAGCTGGCACTGCTCAGTCTGTAGAAGAGTACGGTCAGAGGGATTTTATCACCGTGTATGAGCACTTTGGTGAGAAGGAATGAAGAGGAAGCTAAGCATTTCCAATAGTGTCCACTGACAGGACAAGAGGCAGGCAACACATGTTAAAAAACCTAACCACTCACTTGGTTTTCACAATGCCTTGAAAATAAAATTCCACTTGGAAAAAAAGCTTAATTCAGTATCAAAAAAGATAGTTTGTTCTATAGTAGTGGGAAAGCAGTTCCATTAATTAGCTTTTATTTCAAGGACTCTCAAACCCAAATCTGGTAGATTTCAGTTTACTGATGGAAAGGATTTTATTTTTCCTTCCTTTTTCTTTCTCTTCCCTTTTCCTGATGTGTTGGGGTTTTTTGATTTGTTTTGTTTGTCTGTTTTGTTTTTTTATTGAGGAGGGAGGCAATAAGTTTCTTTTGTGGAGTGTTGTTTGGGGTTCTGGTTTGGTTTGCTCTCTATCTTTTGGGTTTGAGCTTTTTTGTTTCTGTTTAATACATAAATAAGGAATTCCCTTAAGTTTACACTGGCCTTTCTGAGTCATTGCTTTAGTTCCAGCCAGAAACAGTGTCACAGCTTTCTGGTAAGAGGTGCTTGTGACTGCCAGCATCTATCTTACCCCTAGATTCTGAGGGAGAAATAAGGAGGATGAAAGGAAGAGGACTTGTGGTACCTGGTTTAGAAGGCTGATGCAATGAAACCATCCTATTTTTAATCAGGGAGAGCTTCTGAGTTGGATTTGGTGAAGAAGAGTTTTCTTCATGTGACCCAGAGCAGGAGACATCAGCTATAACAAAATAAAAAGAAGAAGGGATGTGTTTGATGTTGCTATACAAAACCCTGCTCCTATTTAATAAAGTGTGAGCATATATATATAACAAAGCCCTGCTGCATCACTCTCACCTTCATTGCAATGCATCATTGCAGTACCACCCTGACATCTCCAGAACAATTCATACCAACAGCTATTTTATTTGTTTAACCTGTGAATGTGAAAATACTCAAGTCCCAAATTAAGCATGCGGTAATTTATATCTAAGATTATCCCTGGTCTTTTCTAGAAGTGATAAACAAGTTGGCAAAAACAAACATATTTGTTGTTAGAAGGTGTTCACAGGCAGCAAGATGCAAGATGAATTGCTTTCAAACCTCGGCTATTTGAGTTCAGCAATATAAAAATGTCAAATTATGTCAGAGGGAACAGGAATCTTATTCACATGAATTGCAGTTAAGACAAGGATGTACAGACATGCCATTGATAACATCTAAGGTATTTTTAGCAGAACTAATTTGAACAATAATATTACAAAAACTTGCATCAGTACCTATAAAAAGAAAAACCCTTTAAGCTTGAACATGTGTTCATATGTTTCACTCACTATTGCATATAGTTTTTCAGCAATATCTGGTCTGATTTTGAATTGCTGTAACAATTTTCGTTTTAGTATATATGACAACACATCACACAGCGAGTAAAATGCTGTGAAATGTTTCACAGCATAAAAATGCTACATCCTTCCATCTTTTATTATGTTACTAAAGACAGTCATTCAAGGGGTTCCAAGGAAGTGCAATTTTAGAACAGAAGAGCATTATGCTGCAGCAGACACATGCTGTACTGACAGATTTGGGGTCTCCACAGATCAATTGTCAAACACTCTATTTTTTCCTTTCTCTGTTTCCAAATATATTAGGGATATATTTCCAAATGTATTTATACATTTACATATGCACATTTATCTTAGTGCATATAAGACACAGGCACTGCCCTGATAAGTTGGTATCTTCAATAAATGGATGAAATACTCAAAAAAAAAATGGGAACTATGTGGCCAAAGTTTAACCAGCCTTATGAAAAATCCATGCTAATTAAAAATCATATATTGCAAACAAATCTATTTTATTATATTCAAAGAAATTCTGCTGTGTATAGGGCTTTTGACAACTGAAGTCTGCTCCTCCCAACTTATGTTCTGTGTCTTTTGAGTTACTGCTCAGTTCTCTTATCTCCCAATCTTTGCTCAGCTCTGCTGTAGCTTCAGTATTTACTTCCCTCAGGGCTTTACTCTGTAAAGTCTGTTCCACCCACTGTCTCCTCACACACTCCAGGCTGCTTGTATACTTTGGAAACAGCCTGAGTATCATGAGGCCCACAAACATAGTACAGCCACAGCAGAAGTTCTGCTAGAGACATTTTTCCTGTTACAACTAAAACTTAAACAAACTTATTTGACACAGTCACACCCCACCTCCCTCCCCTACAAACACCTTTGGGATGTTCCTCTTGTTTTTCATTAACAAGCACAACATCCAGTGGCAGATCACCAGCAACAGAGCCCTAAAGTACTTGAAACATGAATTTACTCCCCTAGTGTGGAAAATACCTCCGTTGCCATTGCTGATGGCTGAGACAAATAAGATACAAAACAACAGTAATACCCTACTCATTTTTGGCAAAAACTGCAAGAGTTCACTCTAATGTGTGTACTAACAGTATTCACCTGTCCTGGGAAGATGCCACTTTACCTAACTGGACATCTGAGAGGAAGGAAGGGCAGTCATTACAGCCGAGTTCACTGACAAGGTATAATTGGACAGAAGACCCTAGACTCAGTGACAGACAAGGAATTTGTTCACATGCACCCACAGAAATAGGTCCCCATTCATTCATTTCATCAGAGCAAAGAATTTCTGGCTATGGCTGACCAGAAGAGGACTCACAGTAGCAGCTTAGCAGCCGCTAGTCCACCTTATGCTCTTACCTCAATTATTACTATGCTCTTATCTCAATTATTTTTCTTTCTCATGTATTCCACTTCTTAGATTGAATTGAAAATCTAGTGTACATAGTCACTAAGATGCTTCTGATAATCCACAGATGCTCCACATCATGTCTCTCACACATATTCGCATGTAATTTTTGTATGACATAAATTTCAGCATGAAAAAAATTAGAATGACTCTTATTTTTTCACCACCATGATTTCTCTATCTTGATCAGCAAAAGTCAATTGTTTAAGTGAAAAGAAATAAAGGATGAAGAGGAAGGAGAGTCATGATTTTATATTGTCTGTGATTTAGGAACATAAAATGATCAGGAAGAAAGTGTAATATGTTCAACTGCCATGGGAAAAAGATGGGATCTTTTAACAGCACAGTGCAAATTCATCCTTTATTCAGTAAAATAAGAAACCTACAGCACTGAGAAGGCAATTCCACTCCTTTCATTATCTTACAGGAAAAAAAAGCATTAAGATACCTGCAGGGTGATTTTCTCCTGAATCCTATTGTTACCTTGCAGGAGAGAATAAAATAACAGAAAATATTTATAGAACTCCTGATGGGAAATCAATTCCAAATCAGCCAAGACATCTTCCCGACAAAACAGGGATTTCCTTTAGAGCACTTTCTACTGGTATTCTCTATCTAATATCAAAATAGTAACTCAGTATTTCTCACTGTTCTCAGAGAAGGCAGACTAATAGCTCTGTCAGGAAGCCATGCTAAGCCTAAAGAGGACTCTGTCTGCTACCTATTCAATGATGTTAAAACTTCTACTTTCAGCTCAATAAATAATCTCTCTCATTCATATTTACAGCCTTAAATTATGAACCTTGCTCCTTGAAAATACCACTGGGATCTCCTGCTGCTTGCTATCAAACTCTCTTATTCTTTGCTCATTATTTGGTTCAACCCCAAGTCCCTTGCTTACTTCATCACTCTTGTTGTATTCTGTTGGACAGATTGCAGGTGATGCTCAAAAGGGGAACAGCACAACAAAACACAGTTTTCCCAAGGCTTGCAAGGTGCTACTTCAGGATCTTCTAGAGCCCTCTCCAGTTTTTCAGGGGAAAAGGCAGAAAGGCAGACATCAGTGCACACCAATGTCATGCCATGCAGAATGGCCATTCTCTCTCTCCTGAGGTCTCCCTGTTATTCCACACAACAATCTCATCAGACATTTTGGCCAAAATAAATTATTTTAGTCAATCATCTACCATGACATCAGGTGTCTTTGTGACATGTTTCCTTCTAGGACATGTATTCCCACCCTCCACTGTATTAGTTCCCTTTGAGAAACCTAATCCTACTGGTGAGTTGAACTCTGCCCTTTTTTTGCCCTGCCTTAATCTGTAAATTATCAGCAGATCATCAGTACAGTTTTAATGCTGACCTCTGACTTATTCCTCAACTCCTACATAGGACATAACCCAGAACTTATATTTACAGGAAACTCATAGGTAGAGTTAATTGACAATGATTCCTGTTTATACTTGTGCTTTAAACCAGAACGTGACACAGCAATTTGCACCAGGCACTCACTAAAGAACACATGTAGGGTTATCAGTTTAAGAACGTGACTGAAGGTAGAATGTCCTACAGGACTTTTGTCACACTGGCAAACTCATTTGACAAACTGACACTGCTACAAGATGTCTTTTCAAATAAGTCCTTCAGATTGACAAGTAATTATAAACCCTTTTGTAGCTCTTTGATCCTATATATGATATAGATGATTCTGGTATTTTTACTCAGACTGATTTCAAGGCAGCAATCTTCATTTTACTGAGCAGTCCTACTTGGCAGGAGTAGAGCAGATGCAATTTAGTATTGTCATCCAGCTTACTCCATTTATCTTTTTTAAATACTAATGCAGCATTCACTTTCTTCCAGTTCTGCAGAACTTCCTCAGTATCCTGACACACTTACTGAAAATATCAACATATGGATGTCTTTCAAAGTTCCTTAACTAGTTCTTTCTAAATTCTTGAACACAAGCTGTCTCAACCAGTTGTTTTACAAAGTAGACATTTTAATAACAGGTTTTTTCACAATATTTTTTGGTTGTTAAGAAAGCCATTGCATTATTTCTCTGTGACAGTGAAAAACCAATCTATTTTTTCCTAGAAGACTAATATTTACTGAACAATTTTTCATTTTGTCTCTATTATTCAGAAACCTACCACATACATTTATGACAGATTCATATAATTGCTAAAATATTTTTCTACTAATGCACTTGGAAAATTTCCTTAGACTTCCTGCTGATTTCTTCTTAATTTCTTTTGCTTTTTTCATCTATAGATAAACTTCCAACTTTTCAACTTTCTTTTAGTGCAAGCAATGTAGTATTTTCCTTATTTTTTCTAACAGCACAGCCTCCCCTGTCAGCTACAGGCTTGTAGCTTTCTAGCTGTTTAGACAAGCAACTCAATTATTATCTGAATCTTTCTGTCCACAATCTTTCTTTAAAACAGTACCTTTGTCACTGTTTTAAATTCTGAGAGATTTACTTCTTCTGGAACTACCAAGATACAGCACTTTCAGATGTTATTTAGGCACAGAAGTCCATTTATTTGGATATCCCAGCTGAAGTACATATCAGACAACTTCAGAATTTTATTCTATTTCCAAGAAAGGTGTACTCAAGCCACAACCAGTTCCACTTGTGGCATATCCCAGTTTAGTTCTGATCTCAATTCTTACCTCAATTCTTTATCTGCTGAGAATGGATCCAAGATATCATCCTAACAAGTGACAGGGGAATTTTCATTCTGATACTGTCATCTATCCAGAATCTGCAAATATGCTCCCATGATAGCAGAATGAAACCACCAATATGTCACTTTTGTTGAAGGTTTCACATACACAGAAAAAGGTTTTTTTTCCCTCCCGTTACACACAACAGGCTAGCCATTATCTCATCCAGATCTTTGTGTATAGCAATCATCAGCAATTCCACTGACATTTATTCTAGGTATTAATTGACCTTCAAGATAATTTTGTTCAATGGCTAGGGAAAGAGGCAATGTCTTTTTAGCTATACAATGCTGATCCAAACTTACTTCTGTCCTTTGATTTCAACCACAGGAATCCTTCCTCCTAGTCTGAGAAATTCCAGTTTATCAGCACTGTGTG